GTGCCACCGTGGAGAGTTGTTTTATAGTAGGCAACTTTTAGAATTGACATACACAAGCATTATTCTGCGTAAAATGTAACCTTATGATACAAATTCGAATTTGCTAACATACTAGCTATATAAACAAATATGATTACCAGCTTGAATGCATCTTCAGAAATTCCATTAGCAAAAAAATCAGAATGTTTATGTTGTGTCATTATTTGTCATTTAAAACACTTAACACAACCTGGGATTAGGTTCCCGGAGAGATTTTCTCGAGTACGGCCAAATCAGAAAATCGCTCCGGACTCAGAAACCCAGAAGGGATTCAACGCAATCATGCCAAACTATACCAAGTCATGACAAAATCACTGGACTAACCGGTCCTCAATATGACAATGTTACTACCCTTGAAACTAACTGTGACTAATTTCTATTCTGTATTTCTTCTGAGAAGCAAACTTCTTGTTTTATATAAGGCACCGAGACAGGCATTAATGAGACCACCAAGTCGGTTCATGAACACGAGGAGCGACGGCATATGGAGTTAGGGAACAACCATTTAACTTCAAGGGGGGGGGGGGATGTGTTAAGATTTTTTGTTCGAAATTATTTTTTTGTGCAAAGCGCGAACATTTGTTTTTAGTTTATTTCAAAATTTAACACTATAAGGTATGGGGAAAATCTGGATTTAGAATATTTTTTTTTTGTCATCTGCTTGACTGCAATATTTTTTTTCATCAAATTGGGGATCAGAATACCATACCCTCCCCCTCTTTTGAAGTTAAATGGTCGTTCCCTTAGTGGATCTAAAATGCGAGTACAAGGACGAACGGAAATGGAATGGATCAGATTGGTATTGTTGTTTGATTATGGTCCATTAACGCAAATTAAGAGCGAATTTTTAACTGCAACTGGACAAAGAGAACTTGTCTGGAGGGAGGGAAGGGTTGGGGGACAGACATTTTTCATTGCAACATACCCTTCTGAAGTTAAAACAATTATAACACCGTTCTTCTTAATCTTTTCGTCCCCGAGGGTATCACCAGCCCAGTAGTCAGCACTTCGGTGTTGACATGAATATCAATTATATGGTCACTTTTATAAATTATCTGTTACAAAACTTTGAATTTTTCGGAAAAGTAAGGATTTTCTTATCCCAGGAATAGATTACCATAGCCGTATTTGGCACAACTTTTTGGAATTTTGGGTCCTCAATGCTCTTCAACTTTGTACTTGTTTGGCTTTATAACTATTTTGATCTGAGCGTCACTGGTGAGTCTTTTGTAGACGAAACGCGCGTCAATTATAATCCTGGTACCTTTGATAATTATTCTATTGTGACTGTGCTAATATAGACAAGCATGTATCATAATTCAAAATAAACTCAAAGATTAATGGAATTCATTACTTTATTTAGTTGAAAAACGATATTGATAAACAGTTCTCACATCTCTCCTTAAGGCCTCTTCTGAACATACGAAGATCCTTATTGTGTAGTCTAACCTACATAAACTACACAAAACATCCGTCAAATATCGTTTCACTTCGGTTTCTAGTAAGTGTTCCACAACTAATCCATTTATGTCCTTTTAATAACTGGTTCCTTATAAAAATAAGGGTTTGCGGTAGGATTGCAAATGAGACAACTATCCACCAGGGATCGACGGAAATGTCAACAATTTGGAGCTCACCTTACGGCATCCAGCAATGAGAAAACCCCATACCAAATAGTAAGCTATAAAAGACATAAAAAATCATTTTTACATTTTTGACAGGCTAAAAAATCATGGATGCCATGTTTGTAAACAATCTGATTAAACCTCTGACCTATATTAACTCGCGTGCTCGTATATATAAGGATAACGAAATTAGAGATCTTTGATATTTTAATTAGATTGGTTTGTAAAATGTATGAGACAAGACAGTACAACACTGTAAAACGGCGTTCAGATCCTAAACACAATTTTAAACACATTTTTTTGCGCTTTATTTACACGTTTAGGTTAAACATGTCTCAGTTCTAGTTCATTTTTGGGTTGACTTTGGATTGTGTTATGCTTAGAAATTAGTGTTTTAGTTCTAAACAATTTAATTCTGAAACACATTTAAAAGTGTTTATATTCAAGACATGTGTACATTTAATGTGCTTAATTAGAAATGTGTTTAGATATTAAACATAATCATAAACAACGTTTAGAACTACACATGTAACACAAGTGTTTATTTTCTTTGTTTTTAGTGCATGCATCTTAAATACTTTTGTTGTCATCTGTGTGGTAATCCCTTATCTCTAGTTGCTCTAGTTCAGTTCCATCGTATGTATGCTTAAATGACCGTCTTTTCATCTAATCCATTATTATTATCCAATCCCTATAGATGAAGTTAAATATTAATTCCAGATGTAGCTATTACCTTAACAAGAGCCATAACTGGTATTAAGATTGTTGCCCAGTGGAAAATATTTCATGCATATTCAGGGCGATGTATTACAAGATCCATCAAATAGGACACCAAAAATATTCTACATGTTCAGCTCCTTCAAGATGTCTTCAACAGCACAAAATAAGGTCAGAAAAACACTCTCAAGAATGAAAATTATAATGATCATGAAAAAAATAATGTCCAGTGGCAAATATTACATACATTTTCAGGACAATAACAGGTACAGTGATGATCATCTTTGTCTTTTGATTTTTATGAGGCGCTAATTTAGAAAAAAATATTGTATTTTAGGAGAGTCTATAATAAATCAAGACCTCAATCATTCGAATTTCAGGATATCCTGAAATATTTCAAGACCTTCATAATTCGATTTTAGGCCATCTTGATAAATTTCAAGTCCTCTATAATTCGATTTCAGTATATATTGAATACTTTCAGGACCTCCACAATACAACTTCAGGATATCCTTAAATCGATTTTTTAGAAATCGAATTATGGAGGTCCTGAAATAGCTCATCTAAAATTGAAATATGGAGGTCATGAAATATTTTATGAGGTTCTCAATGATTTATGGATATCCTCCATTAGCAGAGATATTTTCAAGCAGTAGCTACAACACCAAAAACTTATCAAAATGTATTCCTTTTATTACAGCACGAAGCTTCAAATTCTTCATGAAATTAAATTAGTTTTCAAGAGATTTTTGAGTTTAAAGTTATCTAAACAGCCTGTTGTTATATATTACTCCTTTTTATTTTGACATCCAGTAAAAATCAAGATACACTACAAAATCTGTAGAAAAGTCAAAGCAAATCTGTGTTTTTCATGAAAATGTTCCATACATATAATTTTACTGTGTTTTTTATGGCAATGTTCTTTACATATAATTTTACTGTATTTTTCATGGCAATGTTCTTTACATATAAATTCACTGTATTTTTCATGGCAATGTTCTTTACATATAATTTTACTGTGTTTTTCAAGGCAATATTCTTTACATATAATTTTACTGTATTTTTCATGGCAATGTTCTTAACATATAATTTTAATGTATTTTTCATGGCAATGTTCTTAACATATAATTTTATTGTGTTTTCATGGTAATGTTCTTTACATATAATTTTACTGTGTTTTTCATGGCAATGTTCTTTACATATAATTTTACTGTATTTTTCATGGCAAGGTTCTTTACATATATTTTTACTATCAATATAAAGGAGCTCCCTGTTGGTATCAATATTTTTTTTGTTAGCTGTAACACTAAATAGGTAAACTCTAGTGCTGAGGATGTCAGCTTCTGAAGACATTAAGTCTAGCTATACAAGAATGCACACACTTACTTCATAGATGTCTTGTCTGCATTATTGATCATGATTACATTTTATGTTGAAAGTCTTTACAATCAAGGTTTGACTACAGATATCACATTAACTTAACATTGCTTTATCAAAATTTGATCTTTGGCAATTCATAATTTTACTATAACAACTTAAATTATGAATTGCAAAAGACAAAATTTTAATATGACAACTTAATCAAGATCCATAAAAATAAAGCCACGGGGATATAAACCTAGTCAGATGGATTTGCAAGCCTTACAATAATCCCAAACAACAAATAAGCTTGACCTACTGCTTATAGTATCTGAGAAACAGACTTGTACTTTGACCTATAATTGTTTACTTTTTACACATTGTGACTTGGATGGAGAGTTGTCTCATTGGAACTCATACCACATCTTCTTATTTCTATTGAAAAGAGGAAATTAATATTGACCAGTGAACCATGAAAGATCACATGAACCTCTTCAAACCTACATTGTACACCTTAAAATCATTCCATACACCAAATATAGTTGACCTACTGCTTATAATATCTGAGAAAAAGACCTCATCACCAAAAATTAACATTGACCAATGAACCATGAAAATGAGGTCAAGGTCAGATGAACAATGCCAGACAGACATGTACACCTTGCAAATATTCCATACACCAAATACACATTGTGTGTGTGTGTATAACCTGCAGCATATAGTATCAGAGAAATGGACCTAATCACATAAACTTAACATTGACCAATAAACCATGAAAATGAGGTCAATATCAGATGAACCCTGTCAGACATTCAAAACTGAAACATCACTGTATACAAGGTTAAGAAATGACTTTGTTTTTGTTATATAAAAATGTCTGGTTAGATATATCCTGAAGTTGTGATTTGAAACTGAAAAGTAAAGTATGTATCGGGTATTAACTTATCAACTTATGATTGATTGATTGATTTTTGGTTGCTTAACATCCAGTGGCAATTATTTCAACTGATGACAGCATTTTACTATCAGTTAACTTTGTCATATAACTGTCCACGGCTTTGTGTTTTAAAGTGTTCCTTTTGTTTATCTGTATGTCAGTCCACTTGCTTTTGATTTACGTATTGTGTGAATTATCCTTGGCATTCTGAATTTCTTTCCCCTTCAACATAGTTGGGTGGTTTAATATTTTTTTTACTGGTATGCCCTCAATTTTCAGGTACACATTGGATTTCTTTACACATCTCATGACAGAAAGCACTATTATGACTGATGACTCTTTATTATCAACAATTAATAATAATTAAAGTATAAACTGACACAGAACAGCATAGATTCAGGAATTTGCAATAGGAATTTTATAAATATCCTTGCAGCACCTTTTCTTGTATTGCACAGTTTTTTTTATATCATGGTTCATGAACAGATTTTTTTGTCTATTATTAAGTAACACAGAGCAAAAAAAAAATATCCTTGTGCAAAAGAAAACCAATTTGGGATTATCAATTGAAGGGGGAATCAAGAAGCAAAAAAGAAAAATAAGTTGGAAATAAAAGAACACAAGAAAATATTTTAAAAAAGGATCAAGATTGCTTTGCCATAGGTTAAAGTCTGTTGCAGCTTTCTAACTGTGGAATACAGTCACATGGTGTGTGTATACTATAATAGGCTGAATATAGTCAAAGTCCGATATCTCTAGCAAAAATTGTCAAATCAAAATGACTGTACAGTATAATCAACTTCACATGATGACAAACAATCCTACAAAGTATGAAAGCTTTCAGGCAAAAGATCTCAGAAGAGATATGTGCATAAAGTGTCCATGTGTTAAAAAAAAAAGTAAAATAAACTCTTGTCTAACAAATCGAGAAAGTACAAGTCCCATCACAAGGTGTAATGTGGTACAAAAGTTAATATAACCTGCAAAGTCGCATAACTCCATCAAGAATAGTCAAATCATACAGTATGGTTAACTAAACTTGAAGACAAACAATTCTACCAAGTATGAAAGCTTTGTGTCATATAATATCAGAGGACTTGCATTCAAACATAAGGTGTTGCAAATGTCTCCAAAAATAGTCAAAAGTCCACAAGAATTGTCAAATAAAAATGTCAGTAATATGTATTAAATTCTACAACAAACAATCCCCCAATTCTGAAGCATTGGGCTCCTTGAGGAGTTGAGTGCACAAGATGTCACTGCATTTCAATAGTAAAAAAAAAAGAAGTAGAAATCCCATAACTACCAGGAAAATTGTCAAATCTAAATGACAGTATAGTATGGTTAACTTCACATACTGAAAAACAATCCTACCAAGTATAGAAGCTTTCTGTCAAATGGTCCCAGAAAAGTTGCATTCACAAGGTAACATTGTATTACAATAGTAATAAAAAAATCTTTAAAGTCCCATAACTCTTGCTAGAAAGGTCATATCAAAATGCCAGTATAACATGGTTAACTGAACATGATGGCAAAAATCCTACAAAGGATAAAACGATGTCAAACAGTTTCAGAGGAGTTGCATTCATAAGGTGTCCTTATTTTACAATTGACAACATATGGTCAAAGTTGCATAACTCCTGCAAGAATTGTCAACTCATAATGATGTTATAGTGATGATCAATTGACAAAATTCTACCAGATATGAGGCTTTTGGGCAAATGATCTTGATTTTTTTTATACTTATAATGAAATTTACTTTATTTTTCTCTAAACATTTTTTAGAAAAATATCTATTTTTCATGTTGTACTTATATTTACTATTTTCATTAAGCAAACTAAAAAAATTGACCCAGACAAAGATACTTATTACTAGTAATAGAACAAAAGTTATATTATAAATCCACAATAATTATCCATAATGTTGTCACACTAATCAATTAATAATAAATCTGAAGAAAACAAATATTTAGATACATTTGGTTTTTTTTTTAACAAAACAAAAATAAGGAAAAGTCGTTGTTTAAAGAAGAAAAAGTGAAGTTCATGTATAATACACATTTATAAATATATGTATTAAAATGAAATATTGACTATAGTTATCCCCTATTTAAATTTGTTTTCTTGTGACAAAGAAATATGCATGTTTTTTTTTAAAGTTTTACAACATGCTTATGATAATTTTGAAAGACTTAAATTTAAATTAAAAAATAACTATTAAAATCATTCCATATCCAACATTGAATAAATGAAAAAAAAAACAACCCCAAGTTGATGTGTTTTTAAGATTTGAATGCCCTGCTGTGAAAAAAATCAATCAAGGAATCAAGTGCTATGCTTAACAGTATAGCAAAAATACAGTTTTTTTGAAATATTATTATAAATGATAAAAATATAGGCTAAGCTTTGAATAATTGATTCCCAATACATAGGAGGATTGTTGTAATGACTAATCAATTAAAAATCTTCACAAAATTCTAATGAAGACTAATAAGACTTTTTCGAGGTATGCATCTAAATTGGCAACTTATGTTGCTCAATCATGAAATGTAGATCGTAGTGACCCAAATATTAACTAAGAAATTTTATATGAAAAAGGATTGTGGTAATGTTTGATAGAAATGAACAACACAAAACTTTAGGAAAAGTGCAAAATGAGTAAAATTCTTCAAACCTTTTAAAATTATGTTAAATTTATTGGTAAATGAATAGGATGATGTAATCTGGACACTTTAGTGCAGAAATGTTACTTGTGATGTCATTTATGATATTGTTTAAACAATGTAAAATGATATAATGGGCTGGTGAGAAATGAATCTAAAATACAAATATTCAAAAAATCATTCAGGCTTGACATGCCAATGTGACTCAAAATGTTGTAAAATTGAGATATATTTATAAAGAGGACTACATTGTTTCACTGATAAACAGTAATAGATTAACAAGATATCAAAAAGCAAAATAAACAATGTGAAAAGCAGAAAGATCGACATATTTTAAACAACAAACTTATTCTTGAAGGTGAATAAAAAATACAATTTTTTTTTTAAATGTTAGAGGTAGTATATTATGAAATTTATAGCTTATAAGTTATGTTCTTTGATTCATGCTAAAATATGTGCAAGTCCAAGGCCAATGAAATATTGCTAAACATCCATCTTCGCTAACAGCATCTTGAAATGGAAGAAGGATTTTGCACAAGGACACTTAAATATCGTAAAATACATTAGGAGCCTTAAAAAATAAATATTCGTTCTTAAACAAGAAAAGAAAAAAAGTACAGTACAATACTGACCTAATACTTTATAAATGACTGAATGTTTTCACAATTGTTGCTTGAAAAATTATTTTAAAACCAGATGTCTCTGTATGCCATAATATTATTCACCAAAATACATATGTGAAAAGTTATCATCTATAACCCAACAATAGTCTCTTTAGCAATTCATGTAATTCATGATGGCATTATTTTACAATGTACCAGGATATTAAAATAGTAAAATACCATTGAAAAAACACCTTGAACATCTTAAATATGAAACAAAAGAAGCTCAACACAGAAATTCTGAATACAGTGACCAAAATATTTCAGAATTAATTTAAACTTCCTTCAGAAGAAGATTTTTCAACACTTTAAAAGGTTTTGTGAAATTTAACCCAAAGTCACTCAAGCATAAAATGTATGTCATGGACTTACAGTAGACTAAATGATGTACAATGTAAAAGAATCGCAGTAATGAAATATAAATGATCTACTGTTATAGGTTTTTGACTGCTTGATTAGTTGTAGAATATCATTGATAACAAGTTGCTCCTTAGCATCATCACATGGGTTCTCACTAGCGCGATTCCATGAGTCCTGGACTCATGAAAATCTGCCTAGACTCATCATTTTCAAAACTGGTGAGCCAAAGATGCATTCAGATTGTAAATTGTTGCACATATATTGTCATCAAAAGTTTTAAAATAATCTAAATGTGATGTCATTTCTTTGCTCTCTTTTGTCATTGAGAATGAAATAAATAAATTGTACATCAATAAAATTTCATTTTCTCACTGTTGGACTCGCCATGGCCAAAAATGTTAAGTCCCTGGACTGGTCTTCAATAATCTTTTGTGAGAACCCTGATCACAACACATAGTAGGTTTCTGGTGTAACATACTGCAACACAGAGTTAGAACAGATCAGTAGACATACAAGGATAAATCTACATGTATGATAAAAACATTTGGAGAGAGTACAAAAATCATAAAAGGTTTTTCAAAACTAAAATTAGGGAAATGAAATAGATCAATGTACAAACAATAAAAGCTGAATTAATGAACTAAAAGATTTTACTAGTAATGACCTTTCTGCCATATACTATTAATGAGCAATTATCTGATGGACATGGGAACAATATCACTAAGTTATTAATTCACAAAATTCACACGACTATACACATAAGATTCTAAATAAATAATATTCAGGAAATAGACTATTAAATAAAATATCTAACAAATCAATACATTATTATTTGGTAAACCATTATCTACAAGTAACAGAATAAAACAAGATTTTTACCCATAAAACACACAATATATATACATGTATACTATATACTGATGGCACATAGTGAATAGCCTTAGCTGACAAGAAATTCTAGGATTAATCAACTACAAAGCAGTATTCAAGTAAAGAGCATACAAATACATGAGTGTATTATTACAATTTGCTTCAACTCTTATTACCATGAATTTATCATGCATTCCTTAAGAAATTATCAGAAACAAACTTCAACAGAGAACTTTTTACAATATAAATTCTCAAAATAAACCATCTTTACATAATAAAAAAAAACCCTATTCTAATTATTTTAAAAATTAAATTGCTTTACAATGCAATGCAATGGATTGGGGAGATTAATTGCTCTAAGATTGGGTATGAATATGAAGCTAGAATTTTGAGCACCCAAAACCTTCATATTCTTGCACCTTTCAATAAATAAATCTATTCACATGCATACTACTAGACAAATGTTTTATTTTCTATTTGGCTGATTTTATATCAATTTGACAATTAATGTTTCTGCAGAAAAAGAACAATTCCTTGTTACAAGAAAATGTATCTGCTTTACTGACAAACTCTTTATGTTGAAATGTTAATATCCAAGTGGAATTTTACTGGATGTTTAGAAAGTAAAAATCTATCAACCCTAGTGTAAATTCACAACTCAATCATATCTTTGAGAAGTTGTCATTTTCTTGAATTCTTATTGAGAAATTTGAAAATATAACATTTGTACTTGTGCTTGTAAAAGGACTAACAATCTGCTTCAAAAAATCAAAATCCCCTAAATCTGTGACTAGTATTAACACTGGATTTTTGTAAGGAGGTTAGGTAAAGGACTGTTTCAACAAATTCACTTTGAAAGGGCAAAACTAGTATTTTTCAAAATTATCTTCTTTTAAAATGTATAAAACAATTTTTATAACAAAAATTTAAATTCAATTTACCTTTTGCCTGGAATTTGAGCATTAGAAGTGTATAAATGACTGTTTATTTTCCCTTCTGACACTGATATTGTGGTGAAACTTCACATGGGAGACAACTCATTATGTATTTTGCTTGTATAATGTATAGTACATGTCAGTAATACTGTTAAAAATAAACCAAATAGTTGAATACATGTTTTCAGTGCAACCTAATAATGAAACAATATGTCCATTTCAAGTTTTGGTGGGATGTTTAAGAATCTTTTTTTTTATCATAATCTAACATGTTTGTCATTTTGTAGGTTTACACCATGTCAGTATTTTAAGGTTTGTTTTTCTTTTTGATCTAATACATCAAATGTAAAAAAAATAATACACTCCTGGCATAAAATGAAATACACTGCTATAATGGGGAAGTAAGCAAATGGCTGATGACATAAGGGTTACTATAATTGTTTTTTATTTAAAAAATTTCAGAAATTTCCTGATTATATGATTGATTGTTGGTTACTTTTAACGTCAACTGTCAATTATTTCTTGCATGTTCTGGACAATCCTAATATAAGTTATAAACATTTAGTATTAAAACAGTACATACAGTTGCAGATAAAGAACATTTTGACTTAGTTAAGAAACTTTGACTGCATTATTCTAAGCACTATCTCCTGAATCAGAATAAAAAGGGTTCATATTTTGTTCATTTGTATTTACAAGTGGGTGAGAAAAATTTTCATCTTCCTCTGAATCTGAGCAGTCAAAAGGATTGAGACTATCTTTTTCTGTTTTACTTGACTGTACAATAGGATGTGTTATATTTTCAATGTTTTCCCCTCTGTTAGTGTTATTTTTCTTGCCTTTTTTTCCTTCATATTGAAGAGCTTTGCTCATTTTTGGTTCAGCTCTATACTTGTGTGTCTCTGTGTAGTCATTCAGTTCATAATTTGTTTCTGGTATTCTAGAATTTGCTACAAAGTCATTTGTGGGCGAATCTGCCACTTCTGAATTTTCTTCACTACTCATGTAAAACATTTTGCCACCTTTTTTAACTTCAGGTCTTTTTTCTTCAATTTCCTTTTGGTTAATGGGTTGATCAACTGAAGAATCAGTTTCTGGTGATGATGAATCTTGTGAAGAAATCTGTGAAGTTTTTAAAACTGTATCATCATCAACAAGATTCTGTGAAAACTTGAGAGTTCCTTTAAGTAAATCTCTCACCTGAAAAATATAGATGGTTGTGATAAAAGTTGATTCAACTCCTGGTGTTTTAATTCATTGAGGCAGCTTTATATATATTTAAGTTATCAAAAACATAGACAAATTCTACCAGTACTTTTAGCTACTTTGACAATGTATATCCTGAAATACTTAGGAGCTTCAGTTTATATGCCACATCTAATTTTAAACATGATTTTCCTGAACATTTTCTATTAAATGTATTTAAAAAATATGTCCAAGAAATATTTTAGCCAAATTACATGAAATTTTCACCACTGAAAGGTGATTTATTTTAAGTTTATTGTTCTGATATATCATTGCTCAACATTTAAAAAATATATGGTAAATTCTCATAAATTGGTTGATATAGTAAATAGTAAAATGCCCTTGGAGAAAATCTTTCAGGAAGATACCATTAGGCCCCTCTGTAATAAAAATTGGAAAATTTTAAAAATTGAAAAGGAGCTTACTTTCACAAATCCCAAAAAACCAATATGAATATTGAATAATTTGATCTAAGCATGCTCAATTTGGTGCCAAAATTTTTATTTTACAGCTAAAGTTCCATAACTCTTGCATGACAAATTGGAAAATTTTCAAAATCCAAACGTAGCTTTTTTACACATCACATGGTAAAGCATACTCAAATGAAGATTGATATCAAATTCAAGAAGGCTCCGATTTGGAGTTCATGAGACAAATGTGTGAAAAATTTCATTCATAGCCATTATGTGTTAGTATATATAAGGAACAGTATTCAATAAACAGGTAATTGTTGAGTGATGAATCTGAAAATGCACCTCACTGTAAAGCATGCTCACATGGAGGTTGATAGAAAATTTCAGGAAGTTCTGATTTGTAGTTCCTGAAACAAGAGGCTCTCAAGAGCCTGAATCGCTCACCTGTAATTTTTTGCTTAAATCTTTTATCAATGATTATTTTTGCTTTTCAATATATATTAATGAATGGCTTAAAACTTCCATTGAAATGTTCTTTGTATCTGTCATATTTTCTTCAAAATCAAAGAAATGCATTTTACCCCTATGTTTCATTTTAGCCATAGTGGCTATGTTTCTTGACGTACAAGAAAATAAAATACAAGATTTATACTAGAAACTCTGAAACTCATTCAGCCCAAGTTTGGCTGAAATTGATTCAGCAGTTTCAAAGGAGAAGATTTTTTAAAGTAAGCAAACTAAATTTTATTTAGGGGCCAGCTGAGGACCACCTCCAGGTGCGGGATTTTCTCGCTGCATTGAAGACCCATTGGTGGCCTTCGGCTGTTGTCTGCTCTTTGGTCAAGTTGTTGTATCTTTGACATATTCCCCATATCCATTCTCAATTTTAAATGAACAAATTGTGAAAAATTGATTTTAAAGGGCAATAACTCCTTAAGGGGACAATTGACAATTTTGGTCATATGAACTTATTTGTAGATCTTACTTTGCTGAACGTTTTTGCTGTTTACAGTTTATCTTTATCATTAATAATATTCAAGATAATAACCAAAATCTGCAAAATTTCCTTAATATTACCAATTTAGTGGCAGCAATCCAACAATGGGTTGTTAGATTCATCTGAAAATTTCAGGGCTGACAGAGCTTGGTCTAATAAACATTTTTACCTACATCAGATAAGCTCTAAATGCTTTGGTTTTTGAGATATAAGCCAAAAATTGCATTTTACCCCTACGTTCTATTTTGAGTCATGGCGGCCATGTTTTTTTAAGAAACAGAAAATAAAACACAAACTTTATTCTAGATACCCTTAGAATCATTCAGCTTAAGTTTGGTTGGAATTGGTTCAGCAGTTTCAGAGAAAAAGATTTTTTAGTTAGAAAGAAGTTAGAAAACATGATAAACAAATTGTGTAAAATTGTCCTTGAAGGGCAATAACTCCTTAAGGGGTCAATTGACAATTTTGATCATACAAAACTTATTTGTAGATCTTACCTTGCTGAACATTTTTGCTGTTCACAGTTTATCTTTATCATTAAAAATATTTAAGATAATAACCAAAAACTGCAAAATTTCCTTAAAATTACCAATTTAGTGGCAGCAACCTAACAATGGGTTATCAGATTCAACTAAAAATTTCAGGGCTGATAGAACTTCACCTAATGAACACTTTAACCCCATGTCAGATTTGCTCTAAATGATTTGGTTTTTGAGATATAAGCCAAAAACTGCATTTTACCCCTATGTTCTATTTTTAACCATGGCGGCCATGTTATTTGACGAAAAAGTAAATAAAACACAAACTTTATTCTAGATACCCTAAACATCATTCAGCTTAAGTTTGGTTGGAATTGGTTCTGTAGTTTCTGAGGAGAAGATGTTTGAAATAGTTTACAATTAAAAACGGACGACGACGGACGCCAAGTGATGGCAAAAGTTCACAGTTCCTTCAGAATGGTAAGCTAAAAAGTGTGACAATATTTTTTGGGATAGACAGTTGGTCTTACAAAAACACAGATGGATGGACGAAAATAAACCAGTAAATCCCCTTCCTTTTAAGCAGGGATAAGATTTTGCAATCTTTTTTTGGGAACTGCAATATCTAAGGGCCTTATTTAGTTGTAGGGTGTTCTAGGTAGCTTCAGTTGAAACATTCCTGTATATAAAAATAAAAATAAGGAGATGGGGTATGATTGCCAATGAGACAACTATCCACGAGAGTTCAGTATACAATTTAGCTTTTCACTTCAACAGCTTCATTTCAAATATTACTCTGTTCATTTGAAAAATTAGAAATCTTGGTTAACTAAATTAATAAATATTATTGTCCTTGATTGTAGGAATATATATGAACTTATATTGAACACAAATATTATACAAAAAATTACCTGTTTAATTCCAGCTATTGCAATAAGAATTTCATCCTCATTTTGTAAGTTTTGTTGTAATAGTTCTGACTGCAGACGATCTGTAATTATATGTCAAACAAAAACTAATCATATATGTCAAAAAATTACCATAAATCTTTGTGGATAAATATTATATTTTTGCTATCAAAATAACTATTGTTGGAAATATGAGTCCTATATAGTATAGTTATGTCTGCAATATCAACAAAAAAACCTGTTTGAAATTTCTTTAGCCTTTGCCACTGTTTCAATGACATTTAACGCACATTTCACTTAATAGTGGATAAAAAAGCCAAAACATAAAAAAAAATCAATAATAATTCACTCCCTTGCTATTTTCAATCAAGAATTATTGAGTTGTTATATTATTCCTGGCTTCAATAAAATTCAAACTTAAATTGCTGTTAATATTAATTTGTTATATTTCAGAATATGTAAAACAAATATATAGCAGTACATGTATTTAACATTTATCAATTTCATAATGCCTATCAAATATAAAAATTTGCCAAAGGACATAAAGCTAGCAACAGCCAATCAATCAATCAATCAAATCTAAATAAAACAGAAAAAAAACCCAACAATAGTGTCTACCAAATTATGAGCACAATTTGTCTATAATATAGCTTCTTGTTTCAAATTCCAATATGGAACACATATTGCATTGTCATGAGATATTCATGGTTGTGTATTTCATCACCATAATTCGTTTTAGACATTTGTGATTTAAAAATATCATTCAGTCAATATTTCACTGCTCTTTTATCTTACAAATACTGTATCTGCATGTTTTTGGGATTTTAATGCTTAACCTTTGTTTGCTGAGGTTAAATTGGAACATTAAACGATACGAGGACATTCACATCAATATTGTTGATTTGAACAAATTGTTTACACAAGGGATATTTTTGCACATTTTTTTAACAGTATTTCTTCACAGATGTTGATGATACCCTGTTATTTTTTTACTGTAGTTTTATGATTGTGAAATTTTATCAGACAACACATGATAGAGTTTGTAGGAAGACTGCACTATATTTATAAGTGATTTAATTGATTCCTTTACCCCTTTATCTTGGGTTGGGAACCCCACCTTTAAAAAATGGCTGGATCTGCCCCTGCTTTTACATATGTTTTTTATTACAGTTGTCCATAATATCAAAGGGTATCACTTATATTTCAAATTTGGTCTGTTTCGATTTCGTGAAAGGTGTGAGTTGTTAAGTTCATCATAACAGAACTTCCAGTTATGGTCAAAGTGAAGAACCAGAATAAAAGAACTGTATCTTAGATATATAAACAAGAGTGCGCATTCTAAAATGTCTTGCCTACTTTACTTATTCATGATTGAATGCTGAAGTCTGCAATATTAAGGTTTTACTACAAGTATCAATTAAACTTGACATTATCAATGATCCATTTAAATGAGGTCAAGGTCAGATGAACCCTGCCAGATAAAGGCAACAGTATACCGATGTTCGAAACTCATAAATCGATAGAGATAAAAACAAATCCGGGTTACAAACTAAAACTGAGGGTAACACATCAAATATAAGAGAACAACGACACAACAAAAACACAACATTAAAATGTAACACACACAGAAACGAACTATAATATAACAACGGCCATTTTCCTGACTTGGTACAGGACATTTTAAGAAAAAAATGGTGGGTTGAACCTGGTTTTGTGGCATGCCAAACCTCACGCTTTTATGGCAACGTCAAACACAACACCAAAACGACAACATCACATGACAGGACCACAATACAAATAAATGGGAGAACATATAGGACAAAGAAACACACGAATAATTAACAAAAGGTACTAGGCTTAAAATTCAATACGCCAGACGTGCGTCTCATCCACACAAGACCAACCAGTGATGCTCAGATGAAAAAAGTTTGAAAGCCAAAACAAGTACAAAGCTGAAGAGCACCGAGGCCAAAACTTCCAAAAAGTTGCGCCTAACACGGCCAGGGTTTTCTGCCTGGGACAGAGATGTACACCTTACAATACGGTATGGGTTTTGATCATAGTTGAAGGCCATACAGTGATCAATAGTTGCTTACATCTACACCATTTGGTCTCTGGTGGATAGTTCTCTCATTGGAAATCATACTTTATCTTCTTATTTTGATATTCAAACTTAACATGGAGATTAACACCACTCCTTCCTTTCTCTGCAGCTTTAAATCCAAAGATTCATAGTTCCATAATCCTTCAGATTCATAGTTTCATTATTTTTTACTTTTCACAACATATGTTTTTCCCAGTTTAAAATTCTTTACCTATATGTATATCTAATTTTTGTGATGCATAATCACACATGGATTCTTTTTCTGACATCTGGTTTTGTAAAATACCAATCTGAAATTCATATTCTTTTTCCTGAAAGTATAAATAGTAATTCTTTTCATTTCAAAAGTGTACTTAAAAATATCAATTGGAAGATATAAAAAAAAACAAGAATGCACACCTTTTCCTGCTTAGCATAACCTGACTTATAAATCAAACTGCATGTATTGACTAACAGGAAGCATGTGTCCCACAGATTCGAGAAGTGCAGAATGTTACAATTTATTACAGTCAAGCTGCTGACCAGAAATGATGTCATTCTGTTCAATAGTTTATGAGAAAAATATGTTTTTTCATTCACCATATTGAAAATTCAAAGTATGAGTAAACATGAATTATTTATCTGACAGACACCAAGAGTGCATACACACTTCAACTTATCACTGTCAAGCTGCTACCCAAATATGTTTAGTAGTTCATGGGAAAAATTTAACAAACTATTAGTTGGATGAACAATAGACAAACAGACAGAAAGACAGATAGACAGACAAGGTAATAGCAAGAAACTTATTTTGGAATCATAAATTTTACTCTAAAAATATTATTTGAAACAGATTATTTCCCTTGTCAGGCAGGAGAACTGCTTCACTGCAATAATGCTCAATGATGAATAAACAATTAGGTGTTTTTAATCCCTGTTGATTTAAAGAAATATTTGGATTGTATTAATTTAGAAATTATCAATGGTCTTTTGCCTTCCAACATATTTGTAATCCAATCTGATTATAAAGATGTAAATATTTGTAAATTTTAGTAACACATAGTTTTCCATTCACTTCTCACCATTGCTTTGCACTGCAGCAAATCAGTATAAATACCAGTATAATTCCCAACAAGGGAAATAACTTATATTCAACTATAATTTTCAAATCAGACTTTTGGCAATGAGCTTCGAGAAAGGACTGTATAGCTCCACTCCTAGAATGGGGGTATAAAACTTATTTCATTAAGAAATGCATTATCATTATGCACCTAAGTATTTGAAAACTATACAATTTTGTCTGTTCTAGCTAACATATCTGATAACACTAGTTCTCTTTGCTGATTTGTGTAAATCACAATGTACAAGGTTAGAGTGTTTCCCTCTTATTCTTCTTATACTGATATCTGGTTTATATCAATTATTCCATTTATCAATAGCATATATCAGGGGAGGTATTATTTAACCTCTCACTTCCGTTTCTGCTTTCATACTTTTAAATAGCACAACACACAATGATTTTAATTTGTGATACAATTTTGTAAACCATCCTTACCTTATTGACTTTCTTTCCTTTTCCTTTTGGACTAGGCAAGGTTGCAAATTTTGACATGCTGCCAGCCCCATCATCAGAATTTGGACTGAGCCCAGATGTTTGCCGAACAGAAGGTTCCATTCTTGCCATAGCAGCTGCTGCATTACCAGAAGTTTCTATCCTGGTTGTAGAAGGTGTTGAATTTCCAGATTTGAAATAACCATCTTCCATCTGTGACAAACTTGCTGAAGATCCTCTCTTCTGTTTTGGGTACTGTGGAGTTCCTGGAGAAGTGCACACAATTTTTATTCATTCAAAAATAATCTACTTTGAATTAGTATTCATTCAAATATGTGAAAAGAAACATACATAAAATGTTGCACAAGTGTTTCCTGTATGTGGTCCTGACATTTGATATTATTTTTCTAAATCCCATTATTGGTTATAATTTAAACAGAGGGAAACCATGCTATGGCAAATATATCAAAAACTTAATGATATTCTATGAAATTATTTTCATTATCCGTGCTAATTCAAACAAGTAAAGATATGGGTACCTTTTTTCTTCAATTTTTCATAAAATAGTAATTAAACTGGTTGATATGCAGATATGTATCCAGTTTACTTGACATCCTCAGATTTAAAATTAATTTTGCAAAAATTGTCTAAGCTGGCCAAATCACAGAATTTTGTTTATCTAAAAATAAGCCTATAATTCTGGTGTATTTAAATATATGTTTAAGAATAAATTAAGATATCTCATGTATTAATTCTTGGATTTGTCTTGTTAAAAAATTAAAACACATATGAAACAGAATAAGAACATTAAACAAGATGTCTGACTCTCAGATGTTCAGTTTAATATGTGTCTTTTATTTTTTTTTCCATCATTACTTTTAACACTTTACTTCAAGTTGTAAATTTGAACCAAAGACAAATTGTTTAATCCCTACATTAGGAGAATATTTTCTGCAATAATGGACAAAAATATTGAGATCTATTAAGACATTAAAAAATAATCTTGTTCTAGAGAGTACCAGCTGAAGTTTATCCTATAAACATGCAGTTAGATATGTTAGTATCAAAATTTTATACTCCTGTTATTTCTGTGTATCATTTTAGTTAATACTGTATGGTGAGACAATCGACATATATATTGTTTCATTTGCTAGTGTGTGTTGTTGCATCTTTGTCCTACTAAACTTCTAAATATATTCATGTATAGTAGACCATATCTTTTATCTCTTTGTGATGTATTATAAATACAAAGTTCTTGAAAAGTGATGTTCTGAAGGTTTTGACCACCATAATTTTGCAAAGGACTGACACAATTTTGGTATTTTGCAATAGAAATAATAATAAGTACCAGAAAATTTTCTTCAAGGACCACCAGGGAAAGAAAGATTTCGAGAACTCTGAAATTATATAAAATATGAAATCGTGGTGATTTTGGCAGATTTCAACAAAAACTTGAAAACTTGCTTTTCCTTGAATAAAGGCAGTTTTATACCTTTTTTTTGTAGCACAAAATAAAGAAAATGATCCACTTTTTTACCTGGAGATATGTCAGTCTGAAGGTTCATTGGAACACTAGTGGACTTGTACATTTTCTGCTTGTCAGACGATACAATTAATGTCTTTGGTCGGGAACCAGACATTCTCCTACTGAAACTTGACCAGCTGGTTGTCATGGAAGGTTTGTTAGTGGTATTAGTGGTGACAATGGAAGAATTAGAAGCAGGTATAGCTAGAATATAATTAGCATTAGCATAGTGTGGCATTATCTACAACTAGCTCTATATATATATATATAGTAATGTCTAAATAGTTGCTGAACCTCTGTTACTCATATAATAAAAACAAATTTGATGATAAAAAAAAAATAGGTATAACATTTTGTTCATAAATTGAAGAAAATTTCTGTATGAAGAGCTTATTACAAAAAAAAAGCCAAATAATTTAAGACCCTCTTTAACAAATACTAATATAAGACAAAGTTTTTAAATTTAGGAAATACAAAGAACTTCATAATATCATATTATGCATGCAATCATCCTATGTAGTTACGACAAACTGGTTTTATAACTGATGTTGAATTTGCTTACAAGAATACAAACTTTTGATAAAAAACATTAACTAAAAGTCCAAGCTCCTATGAATTGAATAAATGGTGAAAAGTTTGCACAGCATAAGCATGTCCAAACTTTTTCTCATGTTTAAAGGCGTTTCAACTGAAAATTGTGGTAAGAGATGGAGATCTGTTGAAAAAATTACTATAATGACTAAAATTCCATGTCTTGAATGAATGATAAATAAACGTTCCTAAACAATTTAAAATGGTGAAAAGTTTCAAGGTTGTGGTTAAAAAATTAATCAAAATAGTAAAATCTCTTCCCCTTTTCCATCACCTTGCACCATGTGAAAGGCAATAATACTAACCTCTCATCAAACCAATAGCCAGTTTGGCATTTCGTGCAACTGTATAAAAATGCACCTTTTTTGTTATCCTCAAGTATTTAAACACCTTCAGTGAAAATTATAAAATTCCATCCAATATAATGTGACCACAACTTTTATGTCCTATAAAAGTAAGCTGATTTATATGGGTCACTTATATTTAATAATTCTTTCAGTAAAGCTGATAACGAGTTTTTTACAAAGCTATATGCAAGTGATATCTGATATATCTGCGGGTGTGATTTTATAAGCTGATATATAGTTCCTGAAGTTCTATACAATGCAACCAAGAAATACATACGTTTGTTCCGAACAGATGCAGTCTTGACTATATTCACATTTTGGTATGTATAGTTTGGTGGTCTTGGATGACTCTAAAACATAAAATATGTACTAATCAAACAAAAATGTAAATTCAATTCTCAGCTTTTTATCAAAGCATCTGATTAATGAACACTTGATATAAGAATAATAAGATGTGGTATGAATGCCAATGAGACAACTATCCACCAAAGTTCAAATGAAGTGGATGTAAGCAATCAAAGGCAACCTAACAGCCTTCAACAATGAGAAAAATACAGATATGAAGATTATCTGTACCAATCTTTATGAACAAATCAATGATGATTTTTTTTAAATTAGAAAAACATACAGCAAAAAATGACTTTTTTTTTCTAAAATCATGAAAATTTTATAAAAATGAATTATTTCCAAAGAATTGTTAAACAAATTTAGAGCATACTTACGTAAACAAGATATTCCAAATGCTTTTCCAAAAACCTGCTTGCATTTATCTTTTGAAACAAAAAAGTAAAGTATGTCCAAGAAACAAAAAATTTGAGTAAATGTCTAAAATTTCCACCCCATTTATCTTGAAGGTATATTTTTTTTACATTCATTTGACTAGGTGAAAAATAGCTTGTATGCTTTTTTTGTCAAAAATTCACAATGGGATCAAAACTGTATCTTATGCCCTTAAGAACACAATGTAAAAATGATTAATTGTTATACATTCATACATTAGGGTCTCTCAGGTATCTAGCCTTTTCTATCAAGTAATGAACATCACCAACAGGAGGATATCTCATTAAACAATTTAGGCATTGTGGGTAATCACTTGCAAGCACTGAAACAGAAATAAAATATTGTTGAAAAAATACTTTTCATTAATAAATTTTTATATTAGTTATGTTCTTTTATGTTTAAATTTAGTGTATTTTGATTATGATTCAGTAAAAGGTTTTAGTTAACAATGTAATATACTAGAAGTAAATTTCTATAATTTGTACTGTATATAATATGATATGTTAATAAGAAATCTATGAAAAATACCACATGTATATTGTAAACAGCAGGAGATTTCTGATGAAGTGTATTGTATGATGATTCAAAGTAACACAATTTCCTGACACTAAAAAATGCAGTCTGAACAGTCATAATGTTTTTTTATCCATATAATGTACAGAAATGGGGCATTTTTTTTTATACTTTTGATACTTCATTGTAAAGGTGATTAACTTTCTCCTATTATGAAATTAATTGGTATAAAATGTTATCTGTATAATCTTACACAAATCTCTTATGTACAGTAACATGGCAACAAAGATGAAGTCTACCAGATCAAAACCAATACCATCAGCAAACAAGGCATCCCATAATACTAACAAGTCCTGCATTGGGAACTCTCTTCCAAATAATAATCTTATCCAGCGACTGATAAACAGAGAAAACAAAATCATAAAATGTAAAGCAGTAATAATAATGCCTTGTTTAACTTATTGCAGGCAAAATGTTTAAAATAATATGTCTTTAAATGGATTATCACGTTTAACCCCAGCACAGTCTATATGTGCTTGTCATAATCCAGGAGCCTATAGTTCAGGGGTTGTCATTGGTTGCTCTGTATCATATTTGTTTTTTCATTTATTGTTTTGTACATAAATCAGGCCATTTGTTTTCTTGTGTGAATTGTTTTACATTTTGTCATGTTGGGATTTTTTTTAGTTTACTATACAGTACAGGTTTTGCCCATAGTAAAAGGCCATGCAGTGACTAATAGTTGTTAACATCTTTGTCATTTGGTCTCTGGTGGATAGTTGTAAATCAATATCAAATACCGCCAGGTGATGTCTATTCTAAATATCAACATTGACCTTAACATATATGAACAGGGTATATAAATAATTTCTGGTATATATTAAGATCCTATTTCAGAAAAAGATACAGTAGCAAGGGCAGATAATAATATGTCCAAATTTAATGTCTTGATTTTGCAATGTTGCTAATGATAAGCATACAAAACTTAGCATCCTCAAATTGGTTATTGGAATTTGAAAGTGTATGCAATGGAAAACCAACATTATGTATATTAAGGCACGCGAAATCTTATGCGGGGGCATAAAATTTGAGGCAAATGAAGACTTGTAAGGACTGTCTTAAAGACCAAAATATATATATAAAAAAAAAAGTGTTTACAAATTCACCTACATTTATGACGTCACAAATACATCACTAATGACCCAATTGGTTAAAATCTTTGTTTAATTGAAACAATTGAACATTTTAACATATGTTTTCATAAAATTTTCACAGCATCATTGCAGTTAAACAAATTCAGATTTTTAAGGCCAAAATTATGAGTTAGTGAACCAACCCTTTTGCCCAAAATTGTACATTGTTCTTTGAAAATTAACCAATCAAATGAAAAAATTGTACATTGTTCTTTGAAAATTAACCAATCAAATGATGCCCCCACTTGTAAATATGCATGAGTCAACTTCCACATACAAATGCAGGATTCATGTAGTTAAGACCTTTTTGTGATTATAAGCATTGTGTATAAGTTTCATAACATTTGGTTGAGGCAAACTAAAGTTAGAGAATGGAAACGACAGATTTTGCAATTTTTCCATTTATAAAGGGGCATAACTCAAGAACAGTAAAAGTGATGCCACCAAATTTCAAACTTGATCTGTGTTTTGAGGTAATAAGCATTGTGTATAAGCTTCATAACATTTGATTGAGGCAAACTAAAGTTAGAGAACGGAAACAAAAAATTAAGCAATTTGTATGTTTATAAAGGAGCATAACTCAAGAACGGTAAAAGCGACGCCACCCAATTTCGAATTTGATCTGTGTTTTGTGGTAATAAGCATTGTGTATAAGTTTTATAATATTTGGTTGAGGCAAACTAAAGTAAGAGAACGGAAACAAAAAATTCAGCAGTTTTTGTTTATAAAGGGGCATAACTCATGAACGGTAAAAGTTACGCCACCCAATTTGAACTTGACCTGTGTTTTGTGGTAATAAGCATTGTGTATAAGCTTCATAACATTTGATTGAGGCAAACTAAAGTTAGAGAACGGAAACAAAAAATTAAGCAATTTGTATGTTTATAAAGGAGCATAACTCAAGAACGGTAAAAGCGACGCCACCCAATTTCGAATTTGATCTGTGTTTTGTGGTAATAAGCATTGTGTATAAGTTTTATAATATTTGGTTGAGGCAAACTAAAGTAAGAGAACGGAAACAAAAAATTCAGCAGTTTTTGTTTATAAAGGGGCATAACTCATGAACGGTAAAAGTTACGCCACCCAATTTGAACTTGACCTGTGTTTTGTGGTAATAAGCATTGTGTATAAGCTTTATAACATTTGGTTGAGGCAAACTAAAGTTAAAGAACGAAAACCAATATTTTGGGACGGACGGGAGGGACGAACAAGGGTATGGCAGAGGCATAAAAATTAGAAAACTTTTTGTATGGGTCTTTTTAAGCTTTTTAAAACAAAGATATCATTATCTTAGCACTACTCAACTGAATATATAATTGATAAGTTTACTTACATGCCATATATCTGTGGAGGTATTTCTAGTCTGTCTAGATGCATGTGTAATTCTATATCAAACTTCTTCAGGATGTAGTCCTGTATCCTGGTTAATTTACTGACTATTGCATTAGATGGGTTTAAATCCTGGGGTCTGGCAAATGGTGTAGTGGTCATTCTTTCCTTTCCCTGTACAAATATCAATATTAAGTATGCTTCAAGTCTATTACTGCTATAAATTGCACACCAAAATTATCATACAATGAGGTCTGGTTGTGTTTACAAGAAGAGAATAATGGGCAAAAAATGCACTATAAAGGCCAAAACAAACAAAAAAGAATAGAGAAAAACAGGCAAAAATAATAAAGAATAGAGAATAATCAGGTGCTATAATATAATTATCTACCTATATGGAGTTATTCTTTTTCAGAACAACAGGTCATTCTTTTGAAGAAACATACAGGATGATACCAAGTTTCAATGAAATGTGCTTCAGGGCAGAAAATAATAACCTGTGTAAGGTCATTATTTTCCCTGATTAAAATGCTAACAACAGTTTTAACATACTAAATCATTTTATTCATTTGATAGTTAATGTGTGTTGGTGGCAATTGGGGTTTTACTTTTCAATTTTCCATCTTTAATATATTTTAGGCAGAAACAATCCTTTCTTCTGTTTATTAGATTGAAATACCACAAAACGTTGTTAACACATCTTTTTTTTATCTTTGGAAAGATGTCATTATAACATCTACTCCATATTTCTTTTTCTCAATATGTAAAAAATGCTCAAGTTACCTAAAATGGAAAGATTGGCTGATGAAAACAAATATTATTTCTTTATCATATACTTAACTGTAAGTATGCATCCTGTTATATTTACATTTTTTGCAAGACAGCTCAAAGTTTTAGTAAGGAGGAACTGAGAACATATACCATAAACACAACTTACAAAATAATAACTCAGGACTTTATAAACATACTAGTTTTCTTGTTTGAATTGTTTTGCTCGTTGTTGAAGACCGTTAGGTGACCTTTAGTTGCTAACCTTCTACGTCATTTGGTCTCTGGTGGAGAGTTGTCTCATTGGCAATCATACCACATCTTCTTACTTTTATATAGGTATGTATAAATCTGTCAACTTACCCTAAAATGAGGTGGATCTTTAGACACATACCAAGGTTCAACAGTTTCCATTATTTGTGACAACATAGCACTGGAAAAAAATATTTTTTGATAAAAAATAAATGATATTGTGTTATAAGTATATTGTTTTCCAAATAATTAAGGACATTAGTTCATTGCTGGAAAAAAACATTCATTCAAAAGTCTGCATAATTCTGGATATTGAAAAAAATTGGGTATATTGTATAGGGTCAGTTTCTATTGGTGGAGGAAGCCTGAGTGCCAGTAGTCAGTCGGTTTTACAAAAAACTTACGACTAAGACTGATCGTAAGTATACTGAATTGTTCATGACATCCAATCAATCTTAGTCGTAAGTTTTTTTGTGAAACCAACTCCAGGATTGAGCAGGAAAACTGAGAATCCTAGTCAAAACTAGTAGAAATTGAACACACTGGCCACGTGCAGGGTTAAAACTCACAACCTCAGTATTGACAGGATTATGATACAGTAGATGAACTACTTAGACCACTTGGCTACCGAGAACCTAAATTATTATTTACATTTCTGTTCCCTCCAACAACCATTAACCCAAAGTACATGGGTATAACAAGACCCTTCCAGAGCACCTGAGATAATCTCCATTTTATAATGGGGTTCAATATCTTTGTTGGCTGTTGACTGTTACTAGTCTTTTTGACATTTTTTTTTACCATGGCATTGTCTGTTTTTCATTCATTTTTACCATAGCATTTGTCTGGTTTTCATTCATTTTTACCATGACATTGTGTGTTTCACTTTCATTTTTACCATGGTATTGTGTGTTTTTCATTCAGTTTTACCATGGCATTGTTTTTTCATTCATTTTTACCATGGCATTGTCTGTTTTTCATTCATTTTTACCATGGCATTGTGTTTTTCATTTATTTTTGCCATGGCATTGTGTGTTTTTCATTAATTTTTACTATAGCATTGTGTGTTTTTCATTAATTTTTACCATGATATTGTGTGTTTTTCATTCATTTTTTAACATGGCATTGTCTGTTTTTCATTCATTTTACCATGACATTGTTTGTTTTTGGTTGCCCCCTTGGCATCTTCTCTTTTTTTTACTTACTATGCATCATGTTCCAGATAGGATGGGTTCATTACTTCCTTTATAATTTCCCTGAAAACAAAATAAATACTTCAGGAACCTTTATCTTCTTGTTACTCCAGTAGGAAAATTCTTCTTTAGTCAAATGAAGTATTGAATTTATGTTTTATCCAATATGCTGTATTTTAATACGGGTAATATTTTGTAAATAACTTATTTCTTTATTAAGCTTATATTTGTTCATTTTTAACTCACTGACTTGAAAAACAGACAGACAGACAGAAAACTGTCGATATAAAAAAATTATGTTTTTGTACAGCATCAACCCTTTCACAAAATGTTAATATTTTATATTTTTAAAAAGCTAATTGATTTTATCACACTTAAATGCTCCATATGGTGTGCAAAGACAATAGCTCAAAAACCCTATGGTCCAGGTGAGCTCAAAATGAATAAACATTAATTGTATCATATCCCATTGGCAGGCTTGTCTTTGTTTGGTGTGTTAAGACACATGCATATGTATCTTTGTAAGGTCAAGGGTCATGCAATTGATGCCAGACTCACACTTTTAGTGTATGTCTTGGACTAAAAAATATTTGCTGAAAATCTTACATGCTTTGTCAGGAACAAAAATAAATAGTCTTCCAAATATATTAAAATATCATTCATATATATGGAACAGTTATTTGTGAATTTAATCCACTATTAAAATAATTATTACTAATTTTCAGATATTTTGACCTGTGTTTACAAATAAGTGCTCATCTGTCGTAAAAATACACTCAATTATAGCAAAAGTCACTAGAATATATTTCTACAAGTTATTCATGCAATGAATACTAATTATGCATTGTGGTTTATTTTTCAGACAGATATGATGAAACATCAATTGTCGTAATGAGCATATAGTGCAGTAAAATTGGAACCGTTAATGAAAGTAGGAATTAGCCTATTGCCTAGTTGATTGGTTGGCAATTGAACAACAAGATACTAGAGAGACATAGCAATATCTTTGAAACAAGTTTAACCTGTAAATTGCCTAATATTCTCTATGTTGCCATGTCTTTCTAAGGCACATCCTTCACTTGCCCTTCTATATCTTAATTAAAGGAGATTAAGCAATATATTTGTGAAAATTTAACAGTAACCATATTAATCTTAAAATTGTCGTAACAATACTAAGGTTAAAGGTGTTTAGAAAATAAAAACAAATTTCACATCTGATGAGTTACCGTACATTAATATAATAATTCTACATGTATTTATCTTCAACACTTCTTTTTTTTCTAAAATGTAACTTTATATAGGATCTACCGGTATATAGATTATGTAGGTTTTTTAGGTGTCCAAACATTTCAATTTCTCCCACCCCCCATTATTATTTTTGCATTGAATCTTTAATGAGGTCAAGGTCAGATGAACCATGCCAGACAGACATGTACACCTTACAATCAATCTATGAATTAAATATAGTTGGCCTTTTGCTTATAGTATCTAAGAAACAAACTTAACCAGGAAAACTTAACACTGACCAATGAACCATGAAAATGAGGTCAAGGTCAGATGATACCTGCCAGACAAGCAAATACACCTAACAATCATTCCATACACCAAATATAGTTGACCTATTGCTTATAGTTTAAGAAAAACAGACCAAAACACAAAACACTTAGCACTGAGCAATGAACCATGAAAATGAGTTCAAGGTCAAATAAAAACTGCCAGACTCTCATGTACATAGTAAAATATTTCCATACACCAAATATAGTTGACCTATTGCATATAGTATTAGAAAAAAAGATCAAAACACAAAAACTTAACTTTAACCACTGAACCATGAAAATGAGGTCAAGGTACGATGACACCTACCAGCTGGACATGTACACCTTACAATCAATTCCATACACCAAATATAGAAGATCTATTACTTCTAGTATCTGCTATAGGGACTGGACCAAGAAAACTTTACCTTGTTCACTGATCCATGAAATGAGGTCGAGGTCAGATGAAAACTGTCTGACAGGCATGAGGACCTTGTAAGGTACGCACATACTAAATATAGTTATCCTATTACTCATAATAAGAGAGAAATTAACATTACAAAAAATCTAAACTTTCTTTTCAAGTAGTCACTGAACGATGAAAATGAGGTCAAGGACAATGGACATATGACAGACAGAAACTACATAACATAAGGCATCTATATACAAAGTATGAAGCATCCAGATCTTCCACCTTCTAAAATATAAGCTTTTAGATACATAGTTAACGCTGCCGCCGGATCACTATCCCTATGTCGAGCTTTCTGCAACAAAAAGTGATAGGCTAATATTAAAAAAAAATTCAAGTAATTAAGGAAATTAAATTACAACATTATTTCACACTTCTGCATTAAAAAGATAAATTCAAAAAAAGTGTCGCCCAGATCACTGATATCACATAGAAATTTGATATTCCCGTCCTGTAAACCAAACTTATAAATTTTTTCATGTGCATTATTTCATTCTGTCAAACTTTCTATTCTATGTTAACTTTTCTAACAATAGATTTTTTTAAGTATTACAGATGATATGAAAGCGGAGAAATTTGAATTAAAGTTTAAGAAGAAAAACCTTCACCAGAAGAAACAGAGGCAAGATTAAAACAAGCAATATAATCTATCACCTGTGGTGGGTTGGAATCAAACTGAAAATGTAAATTGTATTAAAATTCTCTTAAGAAATACATCTATAGGATTTGTCTTTATTGCACTGCCTTTTATCTTTTGCTCTTCATTATGTTTCAGATGCATGAAATTTATAAAGTGTTGTTTTCACTTTTTATAATGTCAATTATAAAACTGTTAAGTTTTCAAAAGTTTTCAAAACAAATCTTGGCATTCCAAATACAATTTCACAATCTAAAAAACACATACATTCAAAAGTTGGGAATTACATCCTGTTCTATGTAGGAACTATTGTACTTCTTTGTTTGAAGTATAACAGATAAAAAAAAATTACATTTACCAATTACAGCTTTCACACCATTAGGCTTATTTTACAATTGTAGGATATTTACACAAATTTCACACATAGAATGATCGATATATCATACATAATTGTATGATGCAATGATTATTTTACATCAATATAAGGGAAATTTATTTTGCAATAAACTATATTTTTACAGAAAAAGCAATGGCCTGGTTATGGACGAATGAGGATTTAAAGATAATTCTAAGAATATGTTTCATCAATCTTACATGCATTCTATACAAAATGTGCATTTATTTTGAGACTTTCATTCAAATAAATCTAAGAAAATAAAACAGTTCAATGAATTATTTTTAGTTACTTTTTTCTTCAAAGTTCCACATGTAAAATCTGTATTCATAATTTTACAGAAATATATGACATTGCCAATTTACTGGTCTCTGACCATAATATACAATGCTCTATTCAAATAGGTGTTTGGTAAATTTTTGGAGAAAAGCAAAGAGCAAAACAGGTAAGGAATTGTTATACATGTATAATATTTTGGGAAAGGTGCAATTCTATATATAAATAATAGATCCTAGATAAAGCAAATATTGTGAAAAATCATAATATACCAGAACACTGGTAGTTCTTCATTTCTGTAAGATATGTTTAGAATTTTATCAAACATATGCTTCATTATATTTAATAACTTCCTTACAAAAAAAAGAACACAAATTTCAATTCATTTTATTCTTTTGTATGACATGTGCTTTTTCAAGGCAACAGTATACACAAATCAACATTATTTTAAAGTAAGCAAAACACTGGTTCAGATAAGTCAATTTTTGTGATCTTATTTACATCTCAAATTGAACAAAATGTAAAACTCTTTACAAAATCCTCAAGAAGTTTTACTTGAGAAGCTTTCTTGTAACTGAGATCTGATCATATTTGCTTTCATAAACCAATCATGTCCAACTGTAACATAATTTGACAACACTGTGCCACAATTACTGAACTCATATTTATTCAGTGTAAAACAACATAATTTCATAAGTATCTGAGAATTTTCATTGTGACATTCTTTTGACTTTAGGAGTTTTATCATAATTGATTTCTAACTCCTCCTTTAATTTTTATATACATGTATATCTAATTTACAAAAGTGTGGACACAGATCAGTGTGGATAGTAATTGTTTTATTGGTGTTAGTGTGTGTGACAGTGTTTTATCCCCTGAGTTTATGCATTGGTTGTGCCCCATGTTTTCGGATCTATTTCTATGTTTCCATCATAGAGCCCTATATTAAACTGTATTCCACAGTGACAGCCATCTATGATTTTTTATTTTAAATTTAAAATAAGATTAATAACTTACTACTACTATACCAGACACTACAGGCCACAGACTCTATATATCTATATACCTACCCCAAAGATTCTACTTCTGAAGCATGTAAGAAAGCTTGGTGGTCACAGTGTAGAACAAACACGAGAGGAGCAAGTAGTTCATGCATTCCCTACAATACATTGAGAATTATCATACTAAAATCTATATGTCTATCAATTATATTTATTAAATATAATGTGCTTATCAAAGAAGCTTAACAATTCAGAATGCAGATATGACGAGACACTTTTACTACTCACAGTTTAATTATTACTAAAAACAGATCAACTTACAAAATATATCAGCACAATTCTACAGAAAGAATGTTGATTTTAACATTTCTGAAGCAGGTGCAGTGTATTAAAAATTTTTCTTCCCATCAAGTTCCAATAGATGAATTGTTGTTTTTTAAAAGGGGATTGGCTCAATATTTCATTAGATGATCAGTATTATATAAGGGGTAAGGATAAAATATTTCTAAATATTAATTAGAAAGAATATGATCATGACATGCTTGCGTACTGACTATATCTATATTACAGGAAGTATTAGTATGAATGTTAAAGCTTCAGTTTGCACTAATCTCGTGTATACATCTGTACATCCTAACATCATCCCTGTATTGACAAAAACAAAGGTCAAATTAACAATAAGTCTTGCTTGAATTTTAAGATAAAATACCGTAAATTGGGTTATTTTGGTTGTAGTTTTATTTTGGTTTATTTGGTGCCTCCAATGAAAATGCCAAAATTAAACACACGATAATAAAGCACACTAAAAATTGAAACGCTAAAGTCGCGTACCGGTATGACAATATCGTAATGTTAATTGTTGGGGAAAATATTTTATGTTATCATATCTTCCGTATATTTCCTACAATTCTATACATAGCCAAATCTGCAAATAAATACCTGGTATAATTTGACAACAACACTATATAATTTTTACTTAATTGTCAATTTTCTGAAATTGTTAAGAAAACACAACATGAATTTTTATTCACACATGTCATAAATATGCCAGGCTATTGCTGATAAGACACAGTTATTGGTAATTAGAATATCAAAACTCCTTGTAATCCTTTATCTTCAATTAATCAACATGTACTGCCAGAGGCATAAGTATTAAAATTTAAATCCTTGATCGTCAATAAATTAACATGTACTGCAATAGAGATGCATATGATATTTGTAAAATATAAATAGTCTATTTAAAAAGTGATTTTAATATTTAAGATTTTATTACATATTTTCTTTCAGCTTTGAACCCCGATATACGGAATTATTTGCAATTGCATTCACGTCCGATTCCTTCATTAAGGTAACTTTGTTGTGTTTCTAGTTTGAGAAATTCAATGATATTTTGTCAATGAAGGGATAAATAAAGGCAAATATGAATGAGCTTGCTTACTACTGTTGTTCCAAAATTAAACATATCAATTGGACGAAGCACCAAAATTACACACACCAAATAAAACACATGCCTTTCGTGAGAAAACCGCCAAAATATCCCAATTTACGGTATGCCAATGACATTAAAGTATTTCTGAGTTTTTTCATACTACTTGAGAGAGTTTCTGATAATGTAAGGGTTTTCAGTATGAGAAAAAAGTTCCTGTAACTTAAAAGTTTATTTGAACATGTCAACCAGAATTTCATTCTTTCCTTGAACCTTTAACCTTTACCTAAACATTAATTAATTTGGATTCTTGTTTATAAACCCTAAAGTTAAAATAAAATTTCTCTGTACACTGACTTCTAGAAACCTCAAGTCTAAAAGTGGCATTCTTCAAATTAAAAACAATGAATATTCTCCCCATATTTTTTTTTATTAATAATTCTATACCTTGTATTCACTATGGAATCCATCTGTAGTTAAAAACTAAGATAGTATTAAATTAACTCTTACATTAGTTTATTGGCCACATGCACGCTATAGAAAGCCAGGATTTTTTATAGATACAAACACCATTTCACAAGACAAAGTACCTGTTTATAAGAAATAGTTGACCTAGTTTTACAGATGATAAAAAGAAGGTCTATCATTCTTTCTTGTATTTCTTCAGACTGAAAAAACTGGACTTCAGGAAAACTAAAAATAAACACATGTACAGTGACAACATGCAGAAAACAAAAACAAATACAATAGTATTTTAAAAGAAAAACACATAACATCAAGCAGATAGTGAAATATTATAGCTGCACTTTTCACATATCTTTAAATATCAAGTTTTATAATTCAATTAAGGTTGTTGTAACAGAGTAACTTCCCTTAGTAATAAGCTTCTCTTTTCACTTAAAGAAAAAAATCACTCAATGAAAAGTACAGATATAATAGCAGAAGTTTTGCCAAGTTTTATTTTGCTGTCTTTATAACAGCAACCGATATGTTATGCTTGCTTTTATGGTTCAGATCACAAATGTTTCAACAAAGTTCTGTCTTAAAAAATATCCCAAAATTTTATAGCATATGCAAAACTGAATATTAGTTTTGTATAACAAAGCCAAACAACATATAAAAACACAGTGGTTACTACCATGATTCAAGTTAAGATTTGAGCTAGTTTTTAATCAGTAGCTTAATTTATTCAACCTGGAAAAAATATATCAAGTCTAAGAATTTCTGTCTTGGCAAGACTATAAATTTGACCTTCACCACACCAAGAAACTGTAAAACAAGATTTTAATCAATCTTCTAGTTCTTCTAATGTTTAATTCAAGGATCAATTCTAAAATTAATGTCAAAATATGAAGGACCTCATAAGACACAAAGAAGTTATTAATGCTAAAAGCAAATCATCAAAGTAATTTGACAATATACAGACAAGTAACTGGGCATAAGTTTCATTTTCACTGAGGTTTGACCAAGGGAGCTAAGTCTTATATTCTGCTGGCTTCTGAGAACCATCAGTACTAATATAACAGTGTATTAAATGTTAATTGCCTAGCTTCTTCTCTTCTTCTTTAAGAGACCTTTCACTCAGGTCACCAGGTCACTTTCAAGCAAATTTAAGCAAGTTTTTGAAGTAAGTTTTTGAATATTTCTTTTTTTGGTCACTGGTCGTTTTAAATGAGATGTTGGGTCGCAAGGTCATCCAATAAACCCCTCAAGGTCGCAGGTTGGATTTGACCGAGTTGGAGTCACAAATAGTGCCCCACAATCCTTTCTAATTTGTAGATAATTAGAATATTAAAACTTTGTTTCAGATAATTTAACTATAAGAAAAATAATACAAATGTCTCGCTGTCACTTACAGTACGACAAATTTGAAATCAGAAAATAATATAAAGTTTGACTACATTTGCTGAAAGTTCAAATTCCATCTTATGGCTTATGACCTGTATTGAATATAAAAAAAAGAAAAGAAAGTGAAACGATTCAGCATACAACTTCAATTGAGGAAAGCCACAGACATAACACTGAAAATAGTTTAAAAAAAAAGATACATGTATGTGATGGTGCAAGACATAACTATATACATTCATATAATTCCAAATTGTTTTCCACAGTTTCACGTCAAAATAACAAAGGTAGTTTACAGAAAGTTATATACATTACATTATTCCTCTGAAATTGATAGTTTGAAGTTTTTTTTATGTTAATCGAACAGTTCTTGTGAAAAACTATTAGCTTTTCTAGATAATTTATTTTCTGGTGAAACAAAGTGTCATCATCTAGTGGAAATCAACTTTAATCTTTTATGTAAAGAAATAAAACAAGCTATATGACATACTGATTGTAAGAAAAGAAAAAAATAATTGAAACAACAAATTGCTTTCCTTTCAAATTCATAGAAAAACTGAATTCTCTTGTTAAAGGTGTACTGCATGTTATAAGAATATTCACCATATGCAAATTTTTTTACATAATTGAACCAAGACACTTTTTGTCTCCAATTAGTGTCTGTTTTATACTTTTAAATGAGAGACTATTGGTGTAAATATTTACAATACTGAAAGTATTATATGTATATTAATTAGCGTAGAATTGTTTCAGACATCAATGTGATGTATAACCTTTTAAAAAGATTAAGAATTTCTGATAAAAGTTAATTCTTTTAAGACTTTAATAATTGTTGTAAGATGAAAATATTTTCTCTTATCAAACATATCTTAGAATGGAAAGAAAAGCAACTTGAGAAAATGATTCTGAAAAAAAAGACTTAAAAAAATCGCTGTTGAAAAGAATGGTCAAACCTGTCGGTATGAAATTTCAGGGTTTATCTTTGCAAAGATAAACAATACATCCACCATCAAATTTCTCAATGCGTTTGACTGGAAAAATTCTATTCTAGGATAACTGAAATGTTATGCATTAAAATATGAAAAAAGTTCTAAAAACAATTGTTCATTAGATATATAGCAATATAAACCTTTTATGATTCAAAAATCCTTCATAAAAATGATAACCACAGTGCCACTTCTTTTGGAATATGAGATCTACCCTAAGATGGTAGGTCACACGGGTGCCTCTTTTTTTTACTAAATAAGTCAGCATTAGCTTTAAAGATGAATTTAGGTAATAATAGTTTTAAAGTCAGGAACAATGTGGATTATGGGTAAAAGTAATGCAAACATTGCTAAAAAACTGGTCTAACCTTTTGAATTTAACCCCAAGTGTATGGAACATATACTGTATGATTTGAATATAATCATATAAAAATTATTTAGAAAGATAATTTATACCAATCAAATTTCTATAACAAGTTAATAGAATAAGATTCTTTTCTTTTCTTTCACTTTTGTGAATAGAGAATATCATATGGCTTTTTCAATATCACATCTATAGCAACCTGAGACACCAATACAATCCCAAAAGGTCAGATATTGATAAAGCCATGTCATATACACTTTAATAATATATGCATCCAGTAGATGTTTTTAGTGAGATGACCTAATACAGATTAGGGTTTTGCAACCGTGACTGATATTGATGAAGTGACATCATACAGATTAGGGTTTTGATAAAGACTTATTGCAACCATGACTGATATTGATGATGTGACATCATACAGATTAGGGGTTTAATAAAACCTTTGCAACCATGACTGATATTGATGATGTGACATCATACAGTTTAGGGATTTGATAAAGACTTATTGCAACCATGACTGATATTGATGATGTGACATCATACAGATCAGGGTTTTGATAAAACCTTTGCAACCATGACTGATACAGCACAAATGTCATTGAATGTATTACACATACTATTAACTTGTATCATTACTTACGTTCTGATAACATCCTGTTTAATAGTGAGCCTCAGTTCATTATCCTGGAAAAATCTATTCCATGGACTCTATAAAACATAAATAAAGTCATCTCTATTAACATTCAATTCAAATATATACAATGCATAAGGGTGAATTTTTTTTACACTTGTATCCACAATAAAATACCAGGGGAAGATATTCTGCTTTAAAACCATAATAACTGGGGTCTGTTGTTCAACTGTATGAACCTGTCCTAGCCTTCGCCCCGTATTGTTTTATCCCCTTTTCAATTCATGTTTCAACTCAACTACTAATAAATTTTTTGTGTTTCTTCCAAATATGAAGCAGTGTCATAGCTGATCACTGTTGAAATTCTTTTCCAGAGGATTAAAACTTCCAAAAGGTCTCATTCTTTGAACAAAAACCAATTTTTGCATTGCTAAAGCAGCCATATTGGATATTTTAATTGTATGATTAAAATTAATACACCCTCATGAGGTTGATTAAATCTAAAGACAAATTGAACTGCACACTAATCATATGAATATTTTCAATCAAATGATTAAGAATTTTCAATGACTTGTTAGTACTAACAACAAGTTGAACAACAGACCATACATTTTCTTTTTGTACTAAGGGGATTATTTAGATGACGTACTAAGGGGGTTATTTAGATGGCTTCGAACTAAGGGGGTTATTTAGATGGTTTCGAACAAAAGGGGTTATTTAGATGGTTTCAAACTAAGGGGGTTATTTAGATGGTTTCGAATAAAGGGGGTTATTTAGATGGTTTCGTACTAAGGGGGTTATTTAGATGGTTTCGAACTAAGGGGGTTATTTAGAATGTTTCGAACTAAGGGGGTTATTTAGATGGTTTCGAACTAAGGGGGTTATTTAGATGGTTTCATACTAAGGGGGTTATTTAGATAGTTTCGTACTAAGGGGGTTATTTAGATGGTTTTGTGCTAAGGGGGTTATTTAGATAGTTTTATACTTAGGAGTTATTTAGATGGTTTTGTACTAAGGGGGTTATTTAGATGGTTTTGTGCTAAGGGGGTTATTTAGATGGTTTTATACTAAGGAGTTATTTAGATGGTTTTGTACTAAGGGGGTTATTTAGATGGTTTTGTACTAAGGGGATTATTTAGATGGTTTTGTACTAAGGGGGTTATTTAGATGGTTTTGTACTAAGGGGGTTATTTAGATGGTTTTATACTAAGGGGGTTATTTAGATGGTTTTGTACTAAGGGGATTATTTAGATGGTTTTATACTAAGGGGATTATTTAGATGGTTTCGTACTAAGGGGGTTATTTAGATGGTTTCGTGCTATGGGGGTTATTTAGATGGTTTTGTACTAAGGGGATTATTTAGATAGTTTCGTACTAAGGGGGTTATTTAGATGGTTTTGTACTAAGGGGGTTATTTAGATGGTTTTGTACTAAGGGAGTTATTTAGATGGTTTTGTACTAAGGGGGTTATTTAGATGGTTTTGTACTAAGGGGGTTATTTAGATGGTTTTATACTAAGGAGTTATTTAGATGGTTTTGTACTAAGGGAGTTATTTAGATGGTTTTGTACTAAGGGGGTTATTTAGATGGTTTTGTACTAAGGGGGTTATTTAGATGGTTTTGTACTAAGGGGGTTATTTAGATGGTTTTGTACTAAGGGAGTTATTTAGATGGTTTTGTAATCAGGGGGTTATTTAGATGGTTTTGTACTAAGGGGGTTATTAAGATGGTTTTGTACTAAGGGGGTTATTTAGATGGTTTTGTACTAAGGGGGTTATTTAGATGGTTTTGTACTAAGGGGGTTATTTAGATGGTTTTGTACTAAGGGGATTATTTAGATGATTTTATACTAAGGGGGTTATTTAGATAGTTTCGTACTAAGGGGGTTATTTAGATGGTTTTGTACTAAGGGGGTTATTTAGATGGTTTTGTACTAAGGGGTTATTTAGATGGTTTTGTACTAAGGGAGTTATTTAGATGGTTTTATACTAAGGAGTTATTAAGATGGTTTTGTACTAAGGGAGTTATTTAGATGGTTTTGTACTAAGGGGGTTATTTAGATGGTTTTGTACTAAGGGGATTATTTAGATGGTTTTGTACTAAGGGGGTTATTTAGATGGTTTCATACTAAGGAGTTATTTAGATGGTTTTATACTAAGGGGGTTATTTAGATGGTTTTGTACTAAGGGGATTATTTAGATGGTTTTGTACTAAGGGGGTTATTTAGATGGTTTCATACTAAGGAGTTATTTAGATGGTTTTATACTAAGGGGTTATTTAGATGGTTTTGTACTAAGGGGATTATTTAGATGGTTTTGTACTAAGGGGGTTATTTAGATGGTTTCATACTAAGGAGTTATTTAGATGGTTTTATACTAAGGGGGTTATTTAGATGGTTTTATACTAAGGGGGTTATTTAGATGGTTTTTTTCTAAGGGGGTTATTTAGATGGTTTTGTACTAAGGGGGTTATTTAGATGGTTTTGTACTAAGGGGGTTATTTAGATGGTGAATTAAAGGTAAATAAATGTAATGAAAACATGAATAAGGAAACAAATGGTTTATCTGGTTGACAATAAATTTTGCAATTTCCATGTTTTCTATATGGACCTGAACTCTGATGTCCATCAGCCCAATCAGTCCCCACACAGGCTGCTGGAAATATGAGCATATTTCAGACAACTAAGCCTGGACATATAAAAGGACATTCATGCTACGTTTTTTGGAGGCATGGTTAGTATTGAAAAGTCGAGTTGAGTGATGGACACCTATTGCAATTTAACATGTTATCCTTACATGTTTTAATCATTTAACAAGGTTACAAGGTTACCTATGTAGCATTTATTATGATCACCAAAGAGTACTTCCATCTTCATTATTGCTATATTTTTGGGCAAAGAATGATATTTTTGGAAGCCCTCTCTATTGTATCTTAGCAGGTAATTGATTACCACTGCATCTGTTTCACAAACTATCTAAGGATTGAAATTGAATATTCAGATTTATTGTGAGCACAGCCGCTGGTCTGTATCTCCTACAGCTTTTCTACCACAGTGTTATATAAATAGTAAGAATTAACATTATTTTCTCAAATTTTACTTTAGTCTTTTTTGTGATAATTTTTCATATCACCCTACTCGAGTGATATTGGATTTTCTCAGTCAAGTAGTATAAGAAAATAGCAATAAAAAGATTATAAATGGTCTTTTAAACTCAAGGATCTTTCTTGACTACATTTCATTTCATGAGGTTGAAGATTCTCATCGGATTTTGTCAATCTATAGAGCTACTGCTGATGTTGATATGGTGAAAATGAAAAAAAGACTTGTTTGAATCTGTCTTACCTCATCTGCCTGTGAGAGTGGATTGTTGACACATAGATCTATATGGTCCACAGCCTTCCTAGGATTTACTATTAACTACAACATATTTTGGAAAATGAATCAAACGAAAAGTACTATTCTAAAATAAACACTACTGTGGATTCATTTATTTTGCGTGGTAACCAATTTTCGTGGATTGAAGAAAACTTGCATTTTTGTGGATATTTTATTTCGTGGTTTTGTCAAAGTCTTCATGTAACCTGACGGAAAATTTGTAATTTGTTGAACATTTAAACTCATGGTTAACCTGTTCCTATCAAATCCACAAAAATTGTTATCCAACGAATAATAATGAATCCCCAGTATATTGTTTCTGCTTGAGCTCATGATCATTATACAAAAACTTTACATCTTTGACTAAACTGATAATTAGAGCATAATCTTATATGGTTACATGACATCTATTTTAATTATTTAGAGTTCACCATCTGTAAGAGTTTTTCTTTAAAATAGATGACAGTGCTTGTCTCTGTGTGAAGATTGTAAACGTATCAAGTTTCTCCATGCTTGAGGTGTACACTCATATTAATTTACTTTTACAGTTTTTTCATGATTTATTCTCTACTGTGTGCTCTTTCACATTCTCCTCTCAGTCTGTTTTTTTTTATCAAATGCTTTCAATCCGAATTATTTCCATATTTTTACATACTGGTAATTTCTTGCAAATTATCTATTAAGAATTTTTTTTATGTGCCCATGGTTGTCTAAATGTTTGTACCGTTTTTGAATTTTCTGGTGATAATTACTTGGCAAATCATGACACTATTGGTCTGATTTCTTTGCCCATCATAGTTAGTTTTTAATGTGTTGATTTACCCCATATCTGCTTATTCAATATTGTATAATCAACATGTAGCAAGGGAATTAGCTCAAATAGGTGCTAGGGGCCATATGGAAGTTCCGGTGGTTTGTGAGCATTGTTCTAGGTTGAGGGCCTCAATTTAAATCAAAGATGAACAAGAGGCTGTCAGCGTGACAGCAAATCGGATTTCCTGCAGAGGTTGAACCCTGAACAGTTGAGCAAGTATGGACGCTACATTTAGCTTAAAACAGCTCTGAATTTGGATTGTGATTGAATATTGGACACAGCATAGGTTTGAGACACAAAATGAATGTGGTCAAAGAACTGAAAAATTTGAAATTGGACTAATTGGTCCAATATCCAAAATCTAAGTACATTGTTAGAATCAGCATATCAAAGAACCCTGAGAATTTAATTTTTGATGAAATCAAACAAAAGTTTAATTTAGGACCCTTTGGACCTCATTGTGGACTAATTTGATAAAGAAGCCCACAATCCAAAATCTCTAAATGCATGGTTAGATTCAGCATTTCAAAGAACCCCATAAATTCAGTTTTGTTGAATCAAACAAAGTTTAATTTTGGACCCTGATTTGGACCAACTTGAAAACTGGGCACAAAAATCTAATATTTAGAAACAAAGTTAAAATTCAGCATTTGAAAGAACCCTATATATATTTAATTTATGTTGAAATGAAACACAGTTTAATTTTATCCATATAATTTTCTGTTCAAAGGGAAATAACTCAAACTGAATAAATGTTAAACACATAGTTCTCTAAAATTATATCTGATCTAATCACTACAAAATAGTTCTCTAAAATTAGATATGATGTTATATATATCTATTTTCAAATTAAAATCAAAGATATGATTTAACCACTAAAAAAAAGTTCTCTAAATTTAGATATGATGTTACACAATATATAGATATAGGAAGATGTGGTATGAGTGCCAATGAGACAACTCTCCATCCAAGTTACAATTTATAAAAGTAAACCATCATAGGTCAAGGCACGGCCCCCAACACGGAGCACCGACTCACACCGAACAGCAAGCCACAAATGTATATTTTCAAATTATAATCAAATATAATTGATAGTTCCAAATATTTTTTCTTTCATTTGTCACAAACTAATATAGATCTGCAACTTATCTATCAATGTCAACAACTTTGTCTACACAATGCAATGTATTGAAATATATCCTTTAATGAAAATAGATTATTATTTAATTAAAGGAGTTCACTTCATCGAAAAAAATTATATATATAGCATTCAGAAAATTAGTTTATACAAAATAACAAACAAACCTACCATAAAAATTCTTCAAACAATTTACCAAAGAAAAGAAAAAAAAATCAAAAATGTTTTTAAAAATCTTTTAAAAAATGAGCTATTTCCCTTTGAACAGAAATGGATTAATTATTAAGTATTTTATCAAAAATTGAATTCTTGGGAAAGGGCTATAACTCAACAACAAGAAAAGCTAAAATCGTGAAAATTAAACTTGACCTTCATTTAGTCACAGGAAACAACATATCTAAATTTGAAAAAATTTCGTCAAAGGGTTTTCATGTGAATGAACAGATACTGATTGGCAGCAGCCCGCCCCCATACATCCCCAAATCAATAACAGATTTTTCCTTCGAAAATCCGGTTAAAAACTGCAATCCAAACATTTCCCTTCACTTTTAGTTTTGTCATAATCTGAAGAGAAATGGCTGGTTGCAGTAAAACATATCTGAACTTTAATACCAAATTAATCAGATATTTAGGAAACTAGCAATCACGACTTTTGCACAAACTGTAACCGGAGAACATGATTCTCATTTAAAAATCACATTGTCTCCTCCGGTACCTCTGTGTTACAAGTCAGTACTCTTACTGACTGAGATTAGGAAGAACTTTCAAAGCTCAACCGCTTACAGCTGACTAAGTATCTGCTACTCAAGGGAAGCAATCCTGTCACAAAAACAATAAAAATTTGCATTCCAAAATGAAATTACATTTACAATAAAAGATCCTTACACTGTTTTTGAGATCATCAAACTTATTTCTCCATTCCCTAGTCTTAGATACCCATAAGTTAACATCATCAGGCAAAACTTCTAGAAAAACCTGAAAGCAAATATCAAATTTTTTTGTTAGAATATGAATACATCTATTTTCAAATTTTTATACCATAATTTTGTATCATTTGTCGTTTTCATAGTTTGGTTAGGGGAAGGAAGGGGTCTCATCCCTAATTCCTTAGAAAATAAAAGCCAAAACCAGAATTCACGTGAAAATAATGTGTCCATTCGCCCATCACAATAAAATTTAATCCTGAATTCCCAACGATTTAACTGGCTATTCTCGAATTCCTGTGAATTAAACGACTCAATCCTGAATTCCCCAAAAAAGGTCTTTCCTCTCCTCTTTGGTAATGTGAATTAGGGTTTTTATAAGGAAACAGCAGGATATTTTTGTTGGCCAGTAATTTCATTATTAAGAGCAGATATACTAATTTTGTAGGTAGAAAATGAAACTATGTTGTTTTTATATATAGAAATACTTTGTGTTTTAGTTTCTTATGCCAATTCTTCTTTTCTACCGGTATATGCTATACACCTTATCGCTAATCCCGCTTGACCCGAGAATCAGTCCCGCTCGAACTTTTGACGTCATACAACAATCACTTTTCCATTGTGGCGTCAGATATTTTCTATTATGACGTCAAATTTTACGGGAACTTGTGTGATGTCCAGTAATGGCGGACAAATAGCGATAAGGTGTATTGATTTTAAACGTGTGTATATTATATTCAAAATTTTATTCACAGTCATTACTGGTCATTATCTATTGTTTAACAAATAAAAGGGGTTTGGGCATTGCACAAGGTCATGCATTTCTCAGACTGTTTATGACGTCTTTACACTAAATCCATTGGATGTGTACTGATTGATACTTAAGTCTTGGAGAACATGATTTAATTATTTGCTGTAGTTGGCATTGAACAAGCTTTTAGTAACTGTGAGTACTCTCATTACGGTGCTTTGCATCTAGTGTTAATGTTAGTTGTTTTTGTCCCTCTTACAGATCTTTTGAGATAAGCCAATTGCAACTGATTTTTAAAGTTTCTTTTTTTGTTGTAATGTTACACCACTGTCCCAGGTTAGGGGGAGGATTGAGCACTCACAAACATGTTTATTCCTGCCACATTCTTTATGTGTATGTCCCAAGTCAGGAGCCTGTGGTTTAGGGATGTCATTGGTTCATGTCTGTTATATTTGTTTTTCGTAAATTGCTTTGTTAGGCCGTAAATTTTGTTGTTTGAATTGTTTCACATTTCTAATGTCTTGGCCTTTTATAGCCCACTATATGGTATGGGTTTTTTTTCATTGTTGAAGCCTGCATGGTGGCCTATAATTGCTTACATCCACTTCATTTTTTTTGGATAGTTGTCAAATTGGCAATCATACCATATCTCCTTATTTTTATATTAGTACTCAAGCATTAATAAACAAAAATATAATGAATTATAAATAAATAGACATTCATATTTTTCTTTTTCAAATTTTTTTTTAATATGACATACCTTCCAGCTTACACTGCGAAATCTGCTGCTTCTTAAATACCCATTCATTGCATAATGTTTTAACAACCTCCTGTAATTTGGCTTTGTATATAACTTCTCCCATTCTGTGCTATGAAAATACATAATATTTATTCATCAGTGAAATGAATGCATGAAAATGATATTCCTTCCTATAAATAAATTGAAAATTTACACCAATATGTCATCAAATGGATATCCTGAATCTATCAAGATTTACCATAAAACAAGATCAAATTGCTGAGAGACCCCCCCCCCCTTTCCTAAATTTTTAAAACCTACCCTTTCACATACTCCATAATATCTTGGTGTAAATTAGAAAAAACCCAATCAGACTAGCTTCTCATGGGTGAATCTCATACATGAAAACTCGTTCAAAATATTCACTAAATAACTGCTACTCTCAACTATTGCTTTAAATTTGCTCTGCCTCACAATAAGTAATAGTGCAATATAATGAGGCCAATCAAAGCTTTAAAACGTTTTTAAGGATAATGAGTATGAATAATGCAGTGAAATAGTTCTTACAAGTTCATTTATGCTGTGATTTCTAGTTTAAAAAAAAAATGGATCCCAACTTTTGCTGATTAGGAATGTACCCTGAAACTAACTGAAGTGAAATTGTGAACTAGATTTCTAGATCTTATATCCTAATCTTCGTATTAAAGTGCCACATCAGTCAACTCATGCAGTAACTGCCTAGTATGCCTAAGTCCTTCAAAGTCTGACAAAGACGTATTGATAGTAATATACATCCTAGGTCCCTTGCTGCTACCCAAAATAAGGTTGATTTTCATCCCGCGCAAAAGTGACTAAAGCCCTCAAAATCCTAGCTTAAACCCTGAAAATCTTTCTCTACTAATGAACATGAAAATTCACTAGAATATTATATTTAGGGCTTTAATATTTTTTGCAAGTGTTCTGTTCCTCAGTTGTATATATATGTCCATAAAATAAATTTACAAATACTCCAAAAATCCATGCACTGAAGAAAGAAAAAAAAGAAATTTAAAAGCAATGTTTAAGACATTATATCAGCTTTTTTTAACAGAGATCATTTACAGGACAATACTTTAATTTGCCACTAAAAGCATAAATCTTTATGACAATGATAATTCTTCTACACATGTTTTTTCTTCAAAAATATCATTGATACTTTTATCTAACATTCACTTTAAGTATTTTTTTTAAGAAATAAAGTATTCATAAGAATTACTGAAACTCAATTGTGCTTTTTAAACGTACACATACGTATCCATCTCTAGTCCCTGTTTTAAAATTGTCAAGTCAACATCTGGTATTAGGAAAATGTGCTTTTTAAAAACAAAAGTAAAGTATTTGACATCATGATTTTGCATTAATAAAGAGTCTAATGCAGATATTAATATGCTGATGTTGCACACTTCAAATAATACACTGTTAATGTAACAGTTTACACCAGAACATCAAAAGTCTGAAGGTTAATATCTTTTTATGTCAATCATTGTTATGATGCATAAATGATTACCATGATTGCCTTTTATAACCAAGTCTTTAGGGATTAAAATATGGATAGGAAAAAAATGTCTAGCTTGCTGAAATATTTTTTCGAAGCCCTGATAACTACATACCGGTATATGCATTTGTATAACTAGCACCAATTGGTTTAATATAAGGTGTCAATAACTACCTGTATGCATTTGTATAACTAGTACCAATTGTTTTAATATCAGGTGTAAATAACTACATGTACCTGTATGCATTTGTGTAACTAGCACCAATTTGTTTAATATCAGGTGGAAATAGCTACCTGTCTGCATTTGTATAACTAGCACCAATTGGTTTAATATCAGGTGTAAATAACTACATGTACCTGTATAACTAGTACCAATTGGTTTAATATCAGGTGTCAATAACTACCTGTATGCATTTGTAGAACAAGCACCAATTTGTTTAATATCAGGTGGAAATAGCTACCTGTATGCATTTGTATAACTAGCACCAATTGGTTTAATATCAGGTATTTCCCATGAGTCAGAGTTGACGCTGTCTTTACTGCTGTGTCTTGTCAAGTTGTTATTGTCTTCTGTCATCTCAGGAGCTGGTTCTCCTGTAAAAAAAGTGAATCAATCATTGCACCTGAAATCATAGTTAGGTAAAATTACTTTCCCAGCTTTAACTGAATGGCTAGTTAGTTCAATGAACTTATCAAGTCTAATTGATTGTCTCCCTTTCTTTTGTATATCTTTTTGTATCTCAATAAAGTTATCAAGTACATGTATGTATAAAAGCCATTTGCAGATATTTTTACTGGTCTTCCTTTATAAATATGCATTTCTTTAAACATAATTTAAAAGCAGTGTAAGGGAAGTAACCAAAATGTTGTATTTGGATTACCTCCCTTACACTGTTTTAAATTATCTTAATTGTTCATTAACCATTACTTTATACATAATTTAAAACCAGTGTAAGGGAGGTAATTTCAATAATGTATTTGATTTATCTCCCTTACACTGCTTTAAATTATGTTTTGTACTATTGTATTTGTCCATTAACTAGGACATCCTTGTTTTTCCCCTTTTTTTGCCCCTAATTCCGAAACAGTTTGAGCCATAACCCCCCAAAGCAAATCCTAACCATCCCTTTGTGGTATGGAAACTTGTAGTATAATTTCAGAGAGATCCATACACCGTTCCACAGTTATTGTCTGGAAACTAGAAAATGCTTATTTTTGGCCCCTAATTCCTTAACTGTTGGTACCATAACCCCCAAAATCAATCCCAACCTTCCTTTTGTGGTATTTAACCTTATGGTAAAATTTCAAAGAGATCCATTCACTTAAACTAAAGTTAGAGTGCGAAAACCAATGTGTCTTCGGACGACGACGCCAACGTCATACCAATATACGACCGCAAAAATTTTTTGCGGTCGTATAAAAATGATATGATATACAGGCATAATCAAATGTATTACATGTGGATTCATTGATTTTCGTGCACGGAACCAATCTTTAGGGAATGAAAAATTGTATTTGTGTCAATTTTTGATTTTGTGATCTTGGTAAAGTCTGTATACAACCCTATAAAAAATTTGTACTTCATTGTACATTTAAATGCATGGTTCACCCTTTACCAACGAAATCCACAAAATTTGGTATCCCCGGAATAATAATGAATCCACAGTAAGAAATATAAAATGTATTACCATTCTCAACATTGCCACTAAATCCATCAATGGTACTTATAATGTCCTCTTTTGATGGTCTTGGTTTAGACAATGTTGAATTCTCCAGTTTGGATTTCAAACTAGCTGATCGTATCCTGCTAATCATTGTTGTAAGTCATTGTCTAAAAAAGAAAAATCACATATTTATGCATGCAGCAATAAAATGTTTAAAATCTATTCTTGTTCCTTCTAAAAAATATATGATATTTGTTATTTCCCAAAATTCAAAAATTTAATCTTCCAATCATATTTCAATAACACTTACTGTTGACTTAGTGGAAAAACAAAGGAGGGAAGAAAGAAAAAACAATGCAAATTTTTTCCAATTCACACTAATATGTTGAATCTCACCTTCACTAATCAATTTATATAACCTGCACATGATTGCCATAAACTTCATGACAAGGACTTAAATATATTGATTCCACTGTTATCTTTCACTTAATGGGGCTTCATCACTAATAATGATTGCTGATGGTTAGGATTTGAATACTAATTTATTGGTTTTCAAATAAACAGTAATCAAATTTTAATTTGTGAATGTCAGGAGCCTCATATGAAAAATCCTCTCTGGGTTTGATAAACTTAGTTGAAATATATAAATATAACTTAAGGAATTCAATACATTTTGTATGTCTAGATCTGTTATAGGAAATTCTACTATTACACACAACTCTATAATGTCATTTCAAATACTACTCAATATAATTATGCTTGATACCTAACTCTTAAAAAAGCATGAATATTGTTGACAAAGTATCCCTCTGGGATCCTTAATCTTATAGTAAAACATAGACCTTTATAAGTTCAACAGACATTTTATTTCAAATATGTCATTACATGTTGAATCAACACATCCTCATCAGATATGCATACCTTGTCTTTATCATTAAAGCTTATACTTAATTTCAACCCCAAGCCCCTAAGATTTATTTGGACATACTAATTATATAATTATCTAGAGAAACAAAAAGACAGTTGCAACATCCTCATTATCACACACACACACACAAAACAACTGGGTACAGTATACATGGTATACTCTGGGAAAACAAGAGGTTAATCAGCCACAAATACAATAATTTGTAGCAATGATTATAAATCATATATGTGCAATCAATTCAAACATCATGCATATGCCCATGAATCTATAGGGAATCAAAATGAAATATATCATAATCGCTTTCATCAAATATGTTAATTACTATAGAAATTAATGGATTAGAGATATCCAACATCAATAAATTTGGAAAGTACTTTTATAACTTTTAAAGGTTATTCATTGTTATTCGTATGTTCCTTTTTTAATTCATCTTTACATTTAATTGAAAGAAGCTGTAAAAAAGAAAAAGAAAAAAACTCAACCAACTAGATATGTTTATGGGTATTGATTAAAATACACAATTAGTTTTTGCCCCAATATACAGAACAAATATACATGTAGTTGACATTTAAAATACCAATTTCAATGAGATTATAGAAAACATAGTCCAATAAGCCTGTATTGCCCACATGGTACAATTAATGTACTTGTGACTTAGTTTACAGCATTTATGTTTTTCCATGAAAAAGGTTTGTATTTTATTCATTTTTATTCAGCTAAGCCTTTCTAATAAGCACAGTAATTCATGTAAATATGTATAACAGTGGCGGTTCAAGGGGATGATGGGGAACCCCCCTTTTTTTGACGATCAATGCTTTTGAATGGGGACATAAGGTTGGAACCCCCTTTATCCTGGGTTGCAACCCCCTTTTCAAAATGGCTGGATCCGCCCCTGTATAAATATCAATGTTTTTTAAATAGAAGCTGTACAGAAGCTCTTATATCATGTATTTAATTCCCATTGTGTTCAACTTTAACCATGCCAATTTTTCTTAGGTGACATAACCATGACAACAATAGTCAACTCTGAATTTCATGAATAAAGGTTTAATATTTTAATTTCCCACAAAAAGCATGGTCCTATTTTAAAGATGATGTGTTCTGTCATGTTTGTGGTAGCAGTGATGTTGTTGAGTAGATCTCCAACAAAATCAATCAATAGATCAGCACTAAACACATGCATCTTTGCTAGCCAAGGGTTACAATCCGGTCCCCTACTCTTCAAAGATGTAAACACATGCTAAATCATAAGTTCTAGAATGAACCATATTTTCATAAATTAGATAATAAGTGTCTGTGTCCATTTCCAATAAGCTATATATATATAGGTTAAACTATGTTCAACACTCTATTTTCTGTCTGTTGTCATGGATTTTTAGATATGAACCATGACCACATTCACATATACAAATGTAAAAGGAAAGACCATACTCAGTATTACGTACATCAGTCTCACAGAAAAAACTGGGTCCAAAGTCTAACACAGTGGCAGATGCTGTCATCTTGGATTTTTGATTAGCATCAAAATAATTGAAAATTTAACAAAAAGGGTGTTCTTATCATGCTGAATGCATAATTCATCACTCCAGACATAAAAGCAATTTCCAGTTTTTATATACATGTATGGATGACATCACAAAATTATGCAACATCAAATTGAGCAGAACATATTTAATTACTGAAAGCTGTGGGAACACTAAGTGTAAATAAATTCTGCAAAGAAACAGTGTCACAGATATGATCACAAAAAACAAACATAATAATAATTTAATGTTTTTCGTAGATAAAATACAGTCTGGCATGATATAAGTTATTACTGAACAATCGTTCCCTTGGAGTTGTAACCTTCAAATATAACTGTTGATTGCTTGAGATTCATCGGTATAAATATTTTACTGAATTCATCAGTGTTGGTCTTTCAAAAGTAAATTTTATTGTTAACAGCTGGGTTTATAGCAAATTTTCGCAGAAACTGCCTCATATGATCGATGTCTGTTTGACTAGTATTTCCATTATTGGTACATGTACATGTATTTATACAATTCTGTTTCTGAAAGAATTCAAATTAGATCTTAAAAAAATAAATGTGTTCAGCTTCTGCTCATCATTTTGTTTAATATATTCTCCATCTGTGCAATATTTTCACATAGTCTCCATGTCAAATTTGAGTAAAATCAACATATATATACATCGTACTAAGAGACCATTGTCATTTTGTATAAGTATATATTGTATATATATATATACATAACCAGATGAAGTCATATAAATAATAATGGTGTTAAAAAAAAGGGAAGGAAGTTTGATTATCTGCATTAGACACGAGCAGAACTATACAATACAGGTTTTATTAATGCATTGTTCTAAGTCATGCTAGTTATCTTTTGCAGTTAATCAACAGTTATTTATAACGCCATAAATCTTCAATGATAATGATGATGTCGTACATGTACGTGAACCCAAGCTGAATCACTGGACTTTACTTATTCTACTGTTATAACTTATATCTATTCAGTGGTTCCAAAGGCTTTGAGAAATCAACTGGACATTTGGTCCAGTAAACCTTTCTTCTTAAATGGACCAGACTCTTTTTATAGGACATTTTCACATATGATTTGGACAAAATTAAAAAAATTACAGGTCATTTGGTCCAGTAATGTATATCACTTAACTGGACCAAACCAGTTTTTGCTGGCCTTTGCCCGATGTCTGGCTACCTTTGGAATGACTGTCTATTGCAATATCTGTCAGGTAATATATTATAATGATTGATTGATTATTGAGGTTGCTTAATATTTATTGGAAAATATTATATTATAAGGTATCATGTTGCTTATATAGTGCAATGACGTATATTGTTAGTTATACGTCCTTGATAGTGTAAATATCAATGTAAATAATTATAATTCTTGCTTGTAAATGCCCCCTGTTGGACTTTGATTGGAATAATAAATATAGGATATTTTTGATTTTTTTTTTTAGAAAAGCAACAGTTTTTTTCTTTCTTTTTTTATAGCTCATAAATTAAAAAAAATAAGAGATTGCCAATGAGATCCATACTGTTTGTTGACATGCAAGTTTTATATAATTATCTTGGGAGCTTGATAAGTCTTTCCTTATCATGTTTATATCAATTCTGACCACTAAAACTGCTATAAAGTAAGCATTTTTAGCTGATAAAAAACTATAAATTTTTTGATGTACGGTACCTGAATTTTCGCCTCAACAGCAGTGTTCAGTTTTCCCTGAACATAATGATAATACTTATTTTATCTTCCCTAATGATAATAACTGACTCATCCAGCCGGTGACATTTATTGAAATAAAATTATGGAAAAGATTGATATTTTGAAGATCACATGATTTGTCATGTGGACATTTAGTGATTTACCGAAATTGGGGCGTCTGCATGAAAATATTTAGCCGACAGTAAGCGTTTAAGTTTCTTCCTATATAATTAAATCACATTATAATGAAAGTTGAAGCTTACACTTACTACAAAATACATTTTTTTCTAAAAAAAACTAGTACATTATTTTTTCTTCTCAGTGTTTACACCGGAAATTACAACGTGCACACACTAAGCCGCTTGAACGCTTTAAACGCAACTGATTCGAAATATTATAGTAAGATATAATTCGACATTGATTTATTTTTAGATTTACCGGCAGCAAACAAAAAACTAGTTTCCTTTATGTGGTATGACTATATAGTAGCATTTAAAATGAAGCTATGTTTTCCAGACTTAAATCCAAGAGCCTCTTGGATAACCCTGATACCCCATATCCAGAATGAGTCGACTTTTTCTCGAAAACTCTCCGTCCCCAGATAAAAAATTATGGCATTGACAGATACCGCCAAACAAATGGTTCTTAAAGAAAATGGATACAAGTGTTAAATCTCTCTAAATTAACACTTTATACACAGCCGAAACCATCCATGATGTTACGCCCCTCAATCTTGTTTGCGCCCAGAGTCATTTTGCTCTAATATCCTACAGTAGTCTATAATCAGTCATCATGTCGGTTCGTTCGGACTTTGTTATTGTACTTATCACACGGGAAAACTCCGCATTGACGTCACTACGCTAATACCAGCGTACAAAATTAGTGCAGAATACTTTTTTTCTACTCTTCTAAATAAACAAACATTTCTAAAGATATGTTTTCATTGTTATTCTAAAGTATTGTACAAAAATGCCAATTTTCTAATGACCATTTCGAACTGACTTCTGAATGCCTAAAAACATTCAAGAACTTCAGAAAATCCCTCTTCCGGCCTCCATTGCTTTGTTTACATTCCATTAAGCATCATCAATCTTAATGGCAGACCAAACAGGCCAAGCAAATCATATTTTTAAGAATTTCAAAATGGCAAGCACCTTACGTCTTACGCGATTTTCCTGGGGAAAAAAAACATCCAAATTGAAAGAAAAACTTTGGGAAACAAACGATAATCATGCCATATTTTTGTTCAGGAATATAGAGTAGGTTAATAAAAAACAATATACATATATTTTTCATAAAAAAAAATTTGGTTCAAAATAAAGAGACCGATATTCTGACCATAAGTAAATATTCATATAAAATTCCATTGATTTTAAATTTCATGGCTAGTAATGAGGTTTCCTATTGAATAAACCCCCAATTTATTGCAAACTATTTCAAAGCAATATCATACAAACAAATAATATAATTGCCTTGTACTAAAAAATCACCTAATTGACAGTAGAGCAATTTGATTGGATATAACGATTCAATGTGTCACTTGGTTTTGAAGCCATTAGAATTTGAATGTAAACAAACCGGGTCAGCTGCTGCAGTATGGAACAACATCGTACATTCAGTGACCGAGAAACAATTATGAGTAACCAAGCTTGACAATACACAGTAATAAAAAAACAAAGCTAAGTCTACAGAAAAATAAAATAAAAAATGGCCTTAAATGCACGACTTACCACCATTGCGGGATACCTGTTCACCCTGAGCAAGGATGCTCTGAGTCATTTCGCCGAATTCTAGTCACCTGGGCACCTGTTATAGTAAATTCGGCACGAAGTTAAATTGGCACCCTAGGTAGTTATTTCGGCATCCACAATTAACATTGTGTTTTGCAAGTATATAAACTATTGAAGTCTCTGTTTTTCATGATTTATTTAATATTTTCACTCGAGGTCTCAACGTATATTTGTTGCGTATAACAAGTTCCAATGGAAACTTTATTATAAACAATACATTAATACAATGTATCTGTTCCTATTGGAACTTATATCATAAAGGAACCTCGATTTCATGACAACTGCGCATTACTAGTAAACATGGGCTACAAGATTGGTGCCAACATTATTCATTTTACACAAGTAGACAGGAAATGCAGAAAAGTTTTGAAAGAAAGCCAACTGATTATTGTTTATTGTGTATTCTTCCATCTTAATTAAATGTGTTGAGTTTTTAACAATGTACGAAATGAACCTCTTAAATTGTAAGGTTTGCAAAAAAATATATATTAAAAACAAACGAAAAACTATATATATTCTCAACCAGAAATGAAAGAAAACAGTTAAAAATAATATTAGGTGCCAGTTGAATTATCATATGCCGAAATGACTTTAAATAGGTGCCGATTTGACTAGATGTTGAATTGACCAGGTACCGATTTGACTTTTTCCACATGTGCCGAATTGACCAGGTGCCAATATGACTTCAATGTATCCATTTCGCCTCAATTTTATAAATTACTATTGTTTGGTAAGAAAATGAATTGGTAAGTTTTTTATGGGTATTTAGACAGGAAATGGTACATCTGACATAAAAAAAAACAATGGTTAAGGGATTGGCCAATCTGTCAGAACCTTAATTATTGTTATCATTGACCTGGAGATCAATCTGCAGATATCTCTTTGGTTTGTCTGTTCCTGCTGAGGAGCCTGGTGGTTCTCTCTGAGTACTTCAGCTCCCTTCATCATAATAACAGACTTCGCACATCTTCATTTTTACGGAGATGTTATTTTCCAACCCCGAAAATGTAGAAACGATCCCGGTACACTTATCGATGCTTAAAATAAACATATTCGAAAAGGTTACCAATTTAACACTGTAATTAGATCTTTGAATATTGTTTTATTGGTATTAATATTGATTTTGTTACATGTATCAGTAAACTAAAATCAAACTAAATATTATTGTTATATACATATGCACATTCATGGCTCTACAATCTGTCGTTACCTGTATTTGGCATTGCACAAGGTCATGTTTTTCTCTAACTGTTTATGACGTCTTTACACTATATCCATTGGATGATGGATGTGTACTGATTGATAATTTAGTCTTAGATGCATGATGTTTTTTATTAGTTGTTATTGGCTTTGAACTAGCTGTCAGTAACTGCGAGTACTCTCAGCAGTGGCGGATCCAGAACTTTTCATAAGGGGGGCCCGCTGACTGACCTAAGGGGGGGGGGGGCTCCAGTCATGCTTTACATTTGTCATTTCGGGGTCTTTTATAGCTGACTATGCGGTATGGGTGACCTTTATTTGTTAATTTCTGTGTCATTTAGTCTATTGTGGAGAGTTGTCTCATTGGCAATCATACCACATCTTCTTTTTATATTCCAGATGTCCTATTAAATTACACTCCATTTTTCGTTGGGTTAGGGATTGTCTTTGGTGTATATATATAACTTACTGATACCTCTCCATTAATCTTAACAGGAAGTGTACACAGATTTCACTGTACCCTAGCAGCTCTCGAGGGGTGCTCCAATTTATGGAGGAATCTACATACATGAATACATGTTGACAGCTATTGGATCAGCTCCAATTAAAGTTAATTGAATCAAATACCCCTGTAGAATTTAATTTTACATTCAAAATGTTATTATATATGTTGTATAGTGTGAACATTAATTTGGGTCTTTTTTATTGTTTTTATTTCTGTATACACAATATAATCATATCAAAAAATAATTTCAGAAAGACTGAACCTTTACCATTTGAAAAATGAATTTATATACCGTAGTTTTCAAAACAAATATCACCTGCTTTAAAAAAATATACTTCAAAATTCTAATTAGACTGAAAAATTGGGACTGTGAGTTCAGTAATAGATGGTTTATTGATACTGGTTGATACTTTTCTTATGGTCCCAGATTGACACAAATTGTAATTTTTCAAATTTATTTATTTATTTTGCGACAACATGTCATGATCAGTTACATGTAATAGTTGGAATAAGATTGGAAAGAAAAAAAATATTTTCCTGTTTTCTATTTCAGATCATTGAAGAAATTGAAGAGTACAGTACTTAAAGTCTAACCAATGATTATATAATGGTATTTTTAGTATGGAAGATAAAAAGGAGGAGCAGATAACTCCTACAGATCCTGAAATATTAGAAGTAGAAGCTGCAGAAAACCCTGTAATTGTAATAGATAAACCAGATAAAGTACAAAGAAGGAAAAAAGATCACACCATTAAATTTACAAGAACTGAGGAGAAAATTTCTGAAGAGGACGAAATACAAATAGAAGAATCAGAAGTTCATGACACCATGAGAGAAGATGAAAAAGATGGGTGTTGTGGATTAAAAAAGGGACCACACATCATCTTTTTGTCAGTATTTTATATGCCCTGTGCCTTGATTTCATCACTTTGTGTATCTTTCTATTATGGTGCATGGACTTGGTACAATTTATACATATATTTCAGTGAAGAAAAAACAGTTTGGCATAAAGTGACAATTTGTCCACTACTTATATTGACGTTTCCTTTCACTGTTGGATTGACTTCACTTGCTATTGCCATCTTTGCAGCATTCAAACAAATTTCATGGTATTATAGATCTTGGAGGACAGAAATTGTAGATTTTGACAAAGGATTTTATGGCTGGCTTTGTGACAAGATAGGTCTCTCTCAGTGTTCTCCATATGAGATGATATCATTAAACGATGATGCTGAATTAGAAAATCTTCCAATAAGATCTTAGCTGTAATTATTTAAATGATTGCTTTTAATGTAAATGCAAGGAAAGTCAGATTAATGCAAATTTAATTGATAAAAGCTAAGTAAGAAGATACAATGTAACATAATGATAATCTTAATCAATATAAGTAGTTATTCGTTTTTTTTTATGGTATAGATATTAAAGACATATATATACCGGTATTTTTAAAACCACTCTCAAGTAGTCAAGAAACCAGTTGTACTTAGACAGGGGTTATTGTTATCTTTATAGCATGAATATGTAATATTGAACCATAAATTTTGTTTATTGATTTCGTTCAAAAGACATTCATATTTTGGGTTTCCCAAATCTCAGTCATGTGTCAGTAGGGAGTCCT